GGGGGTTACGGGGCAGTACGGGGGACAGCGGGGCGCCCGGGGGGGGTTACGGGGCAGTAGCGGGGGGACAGCGGGGGCGCCCGGGGGGTTACGGGGCAGTAGCGGGGGGACAGCGGGGCGCCCGGGGGGGTTACGGGGCAGTAGCGGGGGGGACAGCGGGGCCCGGGGGGTTACGGGGCAGTAGCGGGGGGGACAGCGGGGCGCCCGGGGGGGTTACGGGGCAGTAGGGGGGGACAGCGGGGCGCCCGGGGGGTTACTGGGGCAGTAGCGGGGGGACAGCGGGGCGCCCGGGGGGTTCCGGGGCAGTAGTGGGGGACAGCGGGGGCGCCGCGGGGCAGTAGTGGGGGACAGCGGGGGCGCCCCGGGGGGTTACGGGGCAGTAGCGGGGGGACAGCGGGGGCCCGGGGGCGGGGGAGCGGGGGCAGTAGGGGGGACGGGGGGGCCCGGGGCAGTAGGGGGGGACAGCGGGGCGCCCGGGGGTTACGGGGCAGTAGGGGGGGACAGCGGGGCGCCCGGGGGGTTACGGGGCAGTAGTGGGGGACAGCGGGGCGCCCCGGGGGTTACGGGGCAGTAGTGGGGGACAGCGGGGCGCCCGGGGGGGTTACGGGGCAGTAGCGGGGGGGACAGCGGGGGCGCCCGGGGGTTACGGGGCAGTAGTGGGGGACAGCGGGGGCGCCCGGGGGGGTTACGGGGCAGTAGTGGGGGGACAGCGGGGGCGCCCGGGGGTTACGGGGCAGTAGGGGGGGACAGCGGGGCGCCCGGGGGGGGGCAGTAGTGGGGGACAGCGGGCGGGCAGTAGCGGGGGCGCGGGGGTTGGGGCAGTAGTGGGGGACAGCGGGGGCGCCCGGGGGGGTTACGGGGCAGTAGCGGGGGGACAGCGGGGCGCCCGGGGGGGCGGGGCAGTAGCGGGGGGACAGCGGGGGCGCCCGGGGGGGTTACGGGGCAGTAGTGGGGGGGACAGCGGGGCGCCCGGGGGGGTTACGGGGCAGTAGCGGGGGGACAGCGGGGCGCCCGGGGGGTTACGGGGCAGTAGCGGGGGGACAGCGGGGCGCCCGGGGGGGGTTACGGGGCAGTAGTGGGGGACAGCGGGGTGCCCGGGGGGGGTTACGGGGCAGTAGTGGGGGACAGCGGGGCGCCCGGGGGGGTTACGGGGCAGTAGTGGGGGACAGCGGGGTGCCCGGGGGGGTTACGGGGCAGTAGGGGGGGACAGCGGGGGGTGCCCGGGGGTTGGGGGGCAGTAGTGGGGGACAGCGGGGCGCCCGGGCAGTAGTGGGGGACAGCGGGGCGCCCCGGGGGGTCGGGGCAGTAGTGGGGGACAGCGGGGCGCCCCGGGGGGGGTTACGGGGCAGTAGCGGGGGGGACAGCGGGGCGCCCGGGGGGGGTTACGGGGCAGTAGCGGGGGGACAGCGGGGCGCCCGGGGGGGGGGGGGGTTAGGGGCAGTGGGGGGACAGCGGGGCGCCCGGGGGGGGTTACGGGGCAGTAGCGGGGGGACAGCGGGGTGCCGGGGGGGCGGGGCAGTAGCGGGGGGACAGCGGGGCGCCCGGGGGGGGTTACGGGGCAGTAGCGGGGGGACAGCGGGGCGCCCGGGCAGTACAGGGGGTGGGGGGCCGCGCTAGGGGAGGCAGTAGGTGCTGTGGGGATTACGGGGCGGTGATGGGGGGTCGCAGGGTGCCTGGGGGGTGTGGGGTGGGCGGGGGCACCGGGGGCGGGTCCCATGGCGGGGCCCGGGGGGGGGTCGCACCGGGGCGGGTCCATGGCGGGGCCCGGGGGGGGGGGTCTCACGGGGGCGGGTCCATGGCGGGGCCCGGGGGGGGTCGCGGGGGGCGGGTCCATGGCGGGGCCCGGGGGGGCCGGTCTCACCGCGGGCGGGTCCATGGCCGGGCCCGGGGGGGGTCGCGGGGGGCGGGTCCATGGCGGGGCCCGGGGGGGGTCGCGGGGGGCGGGTCCATGGCGGGGCCCGGGGGGGGGTCTCACCGGGGGCGGGTCCATGGCCGGGCCCGGGGTGGGGGTCGCGGGGGGCGGGTCCATGGCGGGGCCCGGGGGGGGGGGTCGCGGGGGGCGGGTCCATGGCGGGGCCCGGGGGGGGGGGTCTCACCGGGGGCGGGTCTATGGCGGGGCCCGGGGTGGGGGTCGCCGGGGGGCGGGTCTATGGCGGGGCCCGGGGGGGCGGGTCTCACCGCGGGCGGGTCCATGGCGGGGCCCGGGGGGGGCGGGTCTCACCGCGGGCGGGTCCATGGCCGGGCCCGGGGGGGGTCGCGGGGGGCGGGTCCATGGCGGGGCCCGGGGGGGGCGGGTCTCACCGCGGGCGGGTCCATGGCGGGGCCCGGGGGGGGTCGCGGGGGGCGGGTCCATGGCGGGGCCCGGGGGGGGCGGGTCTCACCGCGGGCGGGTCCATGGCGGGGCCCGGGGGGGGCGGGTCTCACCGCGGGCGGGTCCATGGCCGGGCCCGGGGGGGTCGCGGGGGGGCGGGTCCATGGCGGGGCCCGGGGGGGCGGGTCTCACCGCGGGCGGGTCCATGGCCGGGCCCGGGGGGGGGTCGCGGGGGGCGGGTCCATGGCGGGGCCCGGGGGGGGCGGGTCTCACCGCGGGCGGGTCCATGGCCGGGCCCGGGGGGGGGTCGCGGGGGGCGGGTCCATGGCGGGGCCCGGGGGGGCGGGTCTCACCGCGGGCGGGTCCATGGCCGGGCCCGGGGGGGGTCGCGGGGGGCGGGTCCATGGCGGGGCCCGGGGGGGCGGGTCTCACCGCGGGCGGGTCCATGGCCGGGCCCGGGGGGGGTCGCGGGGGGCGGGTCCATGGCGGGGCCCGGGGGGGCGGGTCTCACCGCGGGCGGGTCCATGGCCGGGCCCGGGGGGGGCTGGGGCGCAGCGCGGCGGGCGGGTCCATCCGCTCCCGGCAGCCCCGGCCCGGAAGTGCCCGGCGCTTCCGCCCCGCAGGCCCCAGACCGGCGGGGGAGGGGCGGGCTCCGGCCCGGGGGGGGCCGCGGGTCCCGGCCGGGGCGGGCGAAGGTTTTGCCCCGAGGGCCACGTGCGGGTGGGGAAATGGCGGGCCCTGGGTGTGGGGCGGGGCTGGGGGGGGGGGGCAGGAGAGGGGGGGGGTGCGGGAGGGGGCTCAGGGCGGGGGTTGGGGTGCGGGAGGGGGCTCAGGGCGGGGGTTGGGGTGCAGGCGGGGGTTGGGGTGCGGCAGGGGGCTCAGGGTGGGGGTTGGGGTGCAGGCGGGGGTTGGGGTGCGGGAGGGGGCTCAGGGCAGGGGTTGGGGTGCAGGCGGGGGTTGGGGTGCGGCAGGGGGCAGGGGGGGTTGGGGTGAGGCGGGGGTTGAGGTGGGAGGGGGCTCAGGGCAGGGGTTGGGGTGGGCGGGGGTTGGGGGCCGGGCAGGGGTTGGGGGCAGGGGGGGTTGGGGTGGGGGGGGTGGGTTTTGAGATGCGGAGGGGGGGGGTGAGCTGGGGGTTGGGGATGCAGGCGGGGGTTGGGGTGGGTGGGGGGGTGCGGGGGGGGGCTCAGGGTAGGGGTTGGGGGTGGGCAGGGGGTTGGGGTGGGGGGGGGCTCAGGGCAGGGGTTGGGGTGCGGCGGGGGTTGGGGTGCGGGGGGGAGGGGGGCTCAGGGCTGGGGGGGGGGGGGGGGGTTGGGGTGGGGCAGGGGTTGGGGTGGGGGGGGGGCGGGGGTTGAGGGTGCGGCAGGGGGCTCAGGGCAGGGGTTGGGGTGCAGGGGGGGTTGGGGTGGGGGGGGGGTCAGGGTGGGGGTTGGGGTGAGGCGGGGGTTGGGGTGCGGGAGGGGGCTCATGGCAGGGGTTGGGGTGCAGGCGGGGGTTGAGGTGCGGCAGGGGGCTCAGGGCAGGGGTTGGGGTGCAGGCGGGGGTTGGGGTGCGGGAGGGGGCTCCGGGCAGGGGTTGGGGTGCAGGCGGGGGTTGGGGTGCGCGAGGGGGCTCAGGTCGGGTTTTGAGATGCGGCAGGGGGCCGGGGTGCAGCTGGGGGTTGGGATGCAGGCGGGGGTTGGGGTGCGGCTGGGGTTTGCGGTGCGGGAGGGGGCTCAGGGTAGGGGTTGGGGTGCGGCAGGGGGTTGGGGTGCGGGAGGGGGCTCAGGGCAGGGGTTGGGGTGCGGCTGGGGGTTGGGGTGCAGGCAGGGTTTGGGGTGTGGGAGGGGGCTCAGGGCTGGGGTGTGGGAGGGGGTTGGGGTGCAGGCAGGGTTTGGGGTGCGGGAGGGGGCTCATGGCAGGGGTTGGGGTGCAGGCAGGGGTTGGGGTGCGCGAGGGGCCTCAGGTCAGGGTTTGAGATGCGGCAGGGGGCTGGGGTGCGGCTGGGGGTTGGGGTGCAGGAGAGGGGTGGGGTGCAGGCGGGCTTAGGGTGTGGGAGGGGGCTCAGGGCAGGGTTTGAGGTGCGGCTGGGGTGCGGGATGGGTGCACGGTGCTGGCTCCAGCCTGGTGCCGCTTACCTGGTGCGGCTCTGGCATGGAAGCAGCCGGTGCCACGTCCCTGGGGCCCCCGGGGGAGCTGCGGGGGGCGGTGCCAGCAGGCGAGGGCAGTGCACGGAGCCCTCTGCCCCCACACTTCCCCAGGGGTCACAGGGACGTGGTGTCGGCTGCTTCCGGGATTGGCACGGGGCCCGCGGCACAACGGGGGTGGCAATCCCACGGGCTGGATCCAAAGCCCTGGCTGGCCGGATCTGGGCCGCGGCCTGTAGTTTGCCCACCCTGGTCTAGGCCAGTAACAGAAGATCCCAGTGCCCACGCCCCAGGCTCGTCCTTCAGCCCCGACCTAACCCACACTGCCCCTTCTCTCAGGGCAGCACCCAGGGTGAGGGGCAGGCCCAGGGAGAGGAGATGGGGGAGGGGGGCTGGCAGGAGTCTGTTCCCCATTTCTGCACCTCGGGGTGCCCGGCAGCTGGTAGGACCCGATCGCAGACAGACTGAGTCAGTCCCTGCCCACGCGGTGCCAGATTTGGGAGTGACTGGCCAGGTTTGTGCCTGGTTACCACAGAGCAGAGCGGGGGTTTCTTCAGTCACTGCAGTTACTCCACCCCTCTGGAGCGGTGCCTATGCCACACCCTTTGGTTGAGAGACGTTACGTCGGCACAGATTCCGGTCTTGGGCGGGGGTATATCGCTGTGCATGTGCATACTGGGCTCCCCATGGGCGGGCGTTCCAGTGGCGAGCATTCCAGTGGCGCGGCGTGGGCGGGCGTTCCAGTGGCGCGGCGTGGGCGGGCGTTCCAGTGGCGCGGCGTGGGCTGGTGCTCCAGTGGGCGGGCGTTCCAGTGGCGCGGCGTGGGCGGGCGTTCCAGTGGGCGGGCGTTCCAGTGGCGCGGCGTGGGCGGGTGCTCCAGTGGGCGGGTGCTCCAGTGGCGCGGCGTGGGCGGGTGCTCCAGTGGTGCAGTGTGGGCGGGTGCTCCAGTGGCGGGCGCTCCAGTGGCGCGGCGTGGGCGGGCGCTCCAGTGGCGCGGCGTGGGCGGGCGTTCCAGTGGCGGGCGTTCCAGTGGCGCGGCGTGGGCGGGCGCTCCAGTGGCGGGCGTTCCAGTGGCGCGGCGTGGGCGGGTGCTCCAGTGGCGGGCGTTCCAGTGGCGCGGCGTGGGTGGGTGCTCCAGTGGCGAGCGTTCCAGTGGCGCGGTGTGGGCGGGTGCTCCAGTGGCGCGGTGTGGGCGGGTGCTCCAGTGGTGCGGTGTGGGCGGGTGCTCCAGTGGCGGGCGCTCCAGTGGCGCGGCGTGGGCGGGCGCTCCAGTGGCGCGGCGTGGGCGGGCGCTCCAGTGGCGGGCGCTCCAGTGGCGGGCGCTCCAGTGGCGGGCGCTCCAGTGGCGCGGCGTGGGCGGGCGCTCCAGTGGCGGGCGCTCCAGTGGCGCGGCGTGGGCGGGCGCTCCAGTGGCGCGGCGTGGGCGGGCGCTCCAGTGGCGGGCGCTCCAGTGGCGCGGCATGGGCGGGCGCTCCAGTGGCGCGGCATGGGCGGGCGCGGCATGGGCGGGCGCTCCAGTGGCGCGGCGTGGGCGGGCGCTCCAGTGGCGGGTGCTCCAGTGGCGCGGCGTGGGCGGGCGTTCCAGTGGCGGGCGCTCCAGTGGCGCGGCGTGGGCAGGCGCTCCAGTGGCGCGGCGTGGGCGGGCGCTCCAGTGGCGCGGCGTGGGCGGGCGCTCCAGTGGGCGGGCGTTCCAGTGGCGCGGCGTGGGCGGGCGCTCCAGTGGCGAGCGTTCCAGTGGCGCGGCGTGGGCGGGTGCTCCAGTGGTGCAGTGTGGGTGGGTGCTCCAGTGGCGGGCGTTCCGGTGGCGCGGCGTGGGCGGGCGTTCCGGTGGCGCGGCGTGGGCGGGCGTTCCGGTGGCGCGGCGTGGGCGGGCGTTCCGGTGGCGCGGCGTGGGCGGGCGTTCCGGTGGCGCGGCGTGGGCGGGCGCTCCAGTGGGCGGGCGTTCCGGTGGCGCGGCGTGGGCGGGTGCTCCAGTGGGCGGGCGCTCCGGTGACGCGGCGTGGGCGGGCGCTCCAGTGGCGCGGCGTGGGCGGGCGCTCCAGTGGGCGGGCGTTCCGGTGGCGCGGCGTGGGCGGGCGCTCCAGTGGGCGGGCGTTCCGGTGGCGCGGCGTGGGCGGGTGCTCCAGTGGGCGGGCGCTCCGGTGACGCGGCGTGGGCGGGCGCTCCAGTGGCGCGGCGTGGGCGGGCGCTCCAGTGGGCGGGCGTTCCGGTGGCGCGGCGTGGGCGGGCGCTCCAGTGGGCAGCACGGTCTCTCTTGGGAGGTTTTGGCAACACGTGATGGGGCAGCAGTTAATTGTGCTACGGTGACTGGGGACAAGGGTCAACTTCCCAGCATGAACTGTCTCCATCCCATAATGTCATCTCTGTCGGCACTACTGTCATACGCGTTGCAAGCCCAGGACACACAATCCTCCGGTCTCTGCAGAGCTGTCGGAAGAGCCGACGCAGCCGGGAACATGAGGATGTCTTGGAGGGCAGATTGCTGTAGGACATAGCAAGTACCAATTGTCACAGAGCAGCTGCAGATTGTGGCGCACCACTTGTGGGCCTGGTGGCTTGTCTACACTACAGAATTAGGTCAACCTACAGCCACGGCCGTAATTCAGTCAGCTGTTGGTGTCCACACAACCCTCCTGCCGGGGCTGTGTGTCCTCACCAGGAGCGCTTGCACCAACTGAAGTGGGGCATTGAGGGGAACTGAGAGCCCAGTGTGGACACTCTGGAGCCCCCACCCACCCTGCCATTCTTGTCAGTTTCACATCTGCCGTCCTCTGCGGCTCAGAGCAGCAGCCCTCTGAGAACTGGGGGAGCTCCTAGGGGAGCTGGGAGCCTGGGCTCTGTGGAAGTGTGAAAGGGAAAAGAGGATTTGTGTGCAGTTATTTTAGTTTGGTTAAGAGACAGAGCAAGAAACAGGCCAACCTTAACCCTAATAACGGGAGATTTGTAGAAGCGGGGTTTGTGTGAGGCAGATGGGAAAACTACAAGGGACCTTGCTTTAAGATAAGAATAGAATGCACTGTTGACTAAGATAATGGGAAGAAAATGTAAACCAGAATGCAGCTGTTATTGTGTCTATGTGTGTAATGAATGTATAAATGCTTGGCTGAAAGTGCTTGTACTTCAGAGATTACCTGAGGACAGGGGAGACTCTGCCCGACCGCGACCTTCCCCTGCAATTGCTTGAGAATAAATTTTCTCTGACCTGTTGCTAACAAACTCAGTGTGAAGACTGTGTTTTCTTCCACAGCTCCATGCTGGGAGCCCAGATCTCAGGGCTGGGCAGCAGCGGCTGGGGCGGTGAAATTGACAAGAATGTCCGTTTCAGGGCTGGTGGGCGCCTTGCTGTGAAGTTGAGCTGGGCACAGGGCTCACAGCTCTGCATCGCCCTAACTACGCCAACATAAGCGCAACCCCTCTGTGGAGGTGGAGTTATGTCGGCGTAGTGGGCCACTTCCTTGGGTGGAAGCAGCATTCTAGCCTAGACACTGACATTCAATCAATGTAAGCTGCCTTACCCCCGCTTAACTCTGTCGTGCAGACCAAGCCTGAGAAACGAACCCCGGCACTAGCATCTGCTCCAGCTGCGACACAGCAGCCCCGAATGCTGTCCTGGGGGGAGAGACGGCCGGGGAGGGGGCAGCTCGAGCCGGGGAGGGGGCTTGGAAGACGCCCAAAGGGGGCAGTTGGCAAAAGCAGTCAGGGAAGGAGAAGAACCTAGATGCTGAGCTAGCAGCTGAACAGGAGCTGGGGGTGGAGGTGAGGTGAGAAGAGAACGGGAGAATAAAAGCAGGTGATGGGGAAGTGTGAAGGCAGAAAGAAGGAAAATAGAAAAGGTTTCAGGTCAGAAGAAGCAGAAAAGGTAGAGCTGGGTACGTGAGCAGACACTTGTAGAGAAGGGAAGCAGAGGGAAATTAAATCTACAGATGTCCTGGAATGAGAGACTCAAGGGAAAATACTGAAAGGAAATATAACTGGTGAAAAAGGGACTTGATCAAAAAGCTGGGCTATATGAAAACAGACCCTGAAAGCAGTAAATGAGAAGCCCACTCACATAGGGCCTAACGTATATGAACAGAGAGAATGTCTGGACGTTTTTGAAGGAATACAGTCCAAAGATACCTAATGGACACGTGAGGGCCCACTTGGTGAAGAAACCCACTTGTGGATGCTCTTGGTGAAAAGAGTTGCCGCCTCAGGAACGTCGAATCTAAGGAGCACGTCAAGCTGAAGTTTCCCTCCATCCCTCTGGCCGTCCCCTCCACTCTCCTTGTTTCTCTCAGGTTACTCTTGGGCTCTACCTGCCTCTGTCCCTCGGTATGCATCCGATGAAGTGAGCTGTAGCTTACGAAAGCTTATGCTCAAATAAATTGGTTAGTCTCTAAGGTGCCACAAGTCCTCCTTTTCTTTTTATCCCTCCACTGTCCCCCTCTTCTCCTCCACTGTCACTTCCTCTCCCTGACAGTTTGTCACTTTCTCAGAGGGAGGGGCTACCTCCTCTCCAACGGGAAAGGACAGCACCTTCGCCCTGAAGACACCCCTGTATCCCCTGACGGGATCGAGTCCCTTTCCCACATTTAGACTTGCAGCATCAGTGGGAAGTCATTTTGGAGTCGGAAAATCCACCGTGGAAGCCATTGTCATGCAAGTGTGCAGGGCCATTCATCATCTCCTGCGATGCAGGACTGTGACTCTTGGCACCGTGCGGAACATAGGGGGTGGATCTGCAGCAGTGGGGGTCCCAAACTACAGGGGGGCGATAGGTGGCGTGCATACCCCTATTTCAGCACCAGAGCACCTTCCGACAGAGCACATCGACAGAAAGGGCTGATTTTCTGGGTTTACACAAGTGTTAGTGGGTCACCAGGGACACTTCACCAACACCGGTGTGGGGTGGCCAGCGAAGGTACGTGATGCACACACCTTTAAGAACACAGGGCTGTTCACAAAGCTACAAGCAGGGACTCTCTTTCCCAAGCGGCAGATTGCCATTAACAATGTTGAAATGCCAATAGTGATCCTGGGGGACCAGCCTACCTCTTGCTCCTGAAGCCGCACATTGGCCACCGTGACAGCACCCAGGGAAAAGGCAACTCCTGGCTCAGCAGGTGCCGAGTGGCAGGGGAATGCGCTTTTGGTCGGCTAAAGGGACACTGGCATTGTTTACTCAAACGATCGGATCTCAGTGAAAAAAATCCCAGTGGTTATAGCTGCTTGCCCTGGCCTGCATCGAACCTCTGAGGCACAGCGGGAAGTTGCCGCCGGGCTGGAGAGCGGAGGTGGAGCAGCTCTCTGCTGCGTTCAAGCAGCCGGGCACAAGGGTTATTAGAAGAGCTCTGAGATGAGCTATGTGGTTCAGGGAGGCTTGAAGAGCACTTCAACCATAAGAGTAGTTAAGAACTCGATAGCATTTGTCACATATAATTTTGACAGGCTTCTGCACCCCTTTTGGTTTATGTCCCACCCTCCAGTCTCATATTTGGACAGGTATGCTTTGGCATAGGGCTGGTCCAGGTGCCAGGCTCCGGCAGCGCCAGGGCGAGACCCCCCGCCCTGGCTGGAGTCACGGCGCTGGAGGCCGGGATGGTCCGGGTGCCAGGCCCCGGCAGCAGCAGGGCCAGACTCTGTGGAACATAAGGTGGCAGGACCAGCCGTGCTCGGGGGCTGTTCTGGATGGTGGATGTGCCATGTCCCGTCCCAGCTCTGTCACTGCTTGGTTCTGAGCTGGCCCACCCCGCCCGCTTCTGGGGTCTCCGTGGCTCTGTAGCGGGGATGCTCCAGCATGGAGATAGGATGTCATTGCTTTCTGTCTTCTCCCCATTTGCCTGCTCGGGGAGTGTTTCGTCCCGGGGGCTGCAGGGGCTTCCACCCCCACTTGATGCGGAATGCCAGTGAGTCTCACAGGGCCACTTCCCCGCTGCTCCTTCTCTCTCTGTTGTTTCTCTTGATCTGAGGGGAGTCACCAAGGCTGAGGTGCGAAGCGTTATGCTGAGCATGGGCCTCGCCTGCCTCTCTGCAGGGAGCATCCAGGGTGCTGGGTGCAATCAGGAGCTTGTATTCCCTGCCCAGGGAGATCACCTTTGCCACAGGACTGAGCTCCAGCATCCAAGGGTTCAGGGAAGAGCCACAAGAATGATTCCAGGCTTAGAAAACATGCCTTAGAGCAGTGGTCCCCAAACTGTGGGGGCACTCCCCCCTAGGGGGGCACATGGCAAGGCTGGGGCCAGCCCCCCAGGCGGCAAGGAGGGAGCACCCCCAGCCCTGCTCCCCACCCAGCGGCAGCTCCACTCCGCCCCCTGTTCTGTCCTCATTCCCTGTCTGTCCCTAGGCCAGCTCGTCCTCCAGCCCCAGTTCTGCCCCCAGCTCAGCTACTGAGCCAACTGCAGTAAGGGGGCAGGGGGGCCAGGGATGGATTCCATTCCTGGTAAGCGAAGGCGTGATGGGAAAAGTTTGGGCAGTAGCTCTCCCGCCCTGTCCAGCTCTGGCTTCTGACCTGGCCAGGGGGCATGGAGGGGAGAGAAGGGGATGGAGCTGATCCGGGACTGTCCTGCTCTTGCACTGTAGTTTTGGGGGGGCAACACCCCCATGTCCCCCCAGCTCTGCCTAGGGGCTCAGGGCTTCTGCCCCATGGGGAGTGCTGGGGCTCCGGAATTCAGCCCTGCTGCTCCCAGCTTCAGTCCTGCAGGAGGTGCTGGGGCTCAGGCTCCATGTGGTCCCACGGACCCCCAGTGGGACGTGGGCGCCCGATTGAGAACCACTGGCCTTGGCCATGCGCAGGGCTGCCTCAGGGCAGGGGACTGGCCGAGGTGACCTCACGAGGGCCCTGCCAGTCCTTCGACTCTCGTGCAGCAGGACTTGAATGCAGGGTCAGCCCAGCCGCTGCTGGCCCAGGGGCGTGATGCTGAAGTCTCTTGACCTAACACCCCAGCCCCCTTTCTGAATTCTGAGCCTGCGCCCCGGGGAGGGGCGTGACCGAGGGGGCCGGCCTGCTTGCTCCCCTGCAAAGATCTGTGGGTTTATTTGTTTCATTGTAACAGATTCACAGGTTAAAAGGGGAGGAGGACTCGGGGCACCTTAGAGACCAACCCACTGCTTTCAGCGTAAGCTTCCCCGAGCCACAGCTCACCGCACCGGGTGCCCGCGGCGGGACACACAGTCCGGACACTGGAATACACAGGGACCACGACACAGCCCCGCTCGGGCCCCGCCCCCTGCCCGCGGGCCCCGCCCCTGCCCGCAGGCCCCGCCCCGCTCGGGCTCCGCCCCTGCCCGCGGGCCCCGCCCCGCTCGGGCCCCGCCCCTGCCACCGGGCCCCGCCCCGCTCGGGCCCCGCCCCCTGCCCGCAGGCCCCGCCCCGCTCGGGCCCCGCCCCTGCCACCGGGCCCCGCCCCGCCCGGGCCCCGCCCCTGCCCGCAGGCCCCGCCCCGCTCGGGCCACGCCCCTGCCACCGGGCCCCGCCCCACTCAGGCCCCGCCCCTGCCCGCAGGCCCCGCCCCGCTCGGGCCCCGCCCCCTGCCCGCAGGCCCCGCCCCGAGCTCCCCCCGGGGGGGGAAAGCCGAGCGCGCGGCCGGGAGCCCCTCCCCAGCGCCACGAGCGCCTGGTCAAGCGCCCGCTCGGCCGACGATCCCGGCATGCAGCGCGCTCCCCCCCCCCTCCCGGCATGCAGCGCGCTCCCCCCCCCACTCCCGGCATGCAGCGCGGCGGGCCCCGGCCGGAGCGGCTGCTGCTGACCCGGCCGCGCCAGCGGAGCCGCCCCTGGCCGAGGCCCCGCCCCCAACCTGGCCGGGCGGGGGCGCGCAGGTGAGGGCTGCCTCGTGCCCGGGGGTTGCCATGGGGACGGGGAGACAACGCAGCTGCCCCGCCCAGCGCAGGGCCCCGGGGGGCTGTGACCCCCCCGTCCCCCTCCCCCCGTCCCCCCCCCAGCGCAGGGCCCCGGGGGGCTGTGACCCCCCCGTCCCCCCCCAGCGCAGGGCTCCCCCCTCCCCCCGTCCCGTCCCCTCCCCAGCGCACTCCCCCCCCCCCAGCCAGGGGCCGAGGCTACCCCCCCCCCCCCAGCGCAGGGCCCCCTCCCCCCCCCCGTCCCGTCCCCTCCCCCAGCGCAGGGCTCCCCGCTCCCCCCCAGTGCAGGGGCCTGAGGGGTGTGACCCCCCCCCCTCCCCCCCAGCGCAGGGCTCCCCGCTCCCCCCAGCGCAGGGGCCAGAGGGGTGTGACCCTCCGTCCCCTCTCCCAGCACAGGGCTCCCCCCCCCCCCCCAGCTCAGGGGCCTGAGGGCTGTGACCCCCCGTCCCCTCCCCCAGCGCAGGGCTCCCCCCGCTCCCCCCAGCTCAGGGGCCTGAGGGGTGTGACCCCCCCGTCCCCTCCCCCAGCACAGGGCTCCCCGCTCCCTCCCCCCAGCGCAGGGCCCCGGGGGGCTGTGACCCCCCCCGTCCCCTCCCCCAGCGCAGGGGGCCTGAGGGGTGTGACCCCCCGTCCCCTCCCCCAGCGCAGGGCTCCCCCCTTCCCCTCCCCCAGCGCAGGGCTCCCCCCACTCCCCCCCCAGCGCAGGGGCCTAAGGGGTGTGACCCCCCCGTCCCCTCCCCCCAGCGCAGGGCTCCCCCCGCTCCTCCCCCAGTGCAGGGGCCTGAGGGGTGTGACTCCCCCCGTCCCCTCCCCCCAGCGCAGGGCTCCCCTCTCCCCCCGCTCCCCCCCAATGCAGGGGCCTGAGGGGTGTGACCCCCCCGTCCCCTCCCCCAGCGCAGGGCTCCCCCCGCTCCTCCCCCAGTGCAGGGGCCTGAGGGGTGTGACTCCCCCCACTCCCCCCCAGCGCAGGGCTCCCCGCTCCCCCCCAGCGCAGGGGCCAGAGGGGTGTGACCCTCCGTCCCCTCTCCCAGCACAGGGCTCCCCCCCGCTCCCCCCCCAGCTCAGGGGCCTGAGGGCTGTGACCCCCCCCGTCCCCTCCCCCAGCGCAGGGCTCCCCCCGCTCCCCCCCAGTGCAGGGGCCTGAGGGGTGTGACCCCCCGTCCCCTCCCCCCAGCACAGGGCTCCCCGCTCCCTCCCCCCCAGCGCAGGGCCCCGGGGGGCTGTGACCCCCCCCGTCCCCTCCCCCAGCGCAGGGGGCCTGAGGGGTGTGACCCCCCGTCCCCTCCCCCCAGCGCAGGGCTCCCCCCTTCCCCTCCCCCAGCGCAGGGCTCCCCCCCCCTCCCCCCCAGCGCAGGGGCCTAAGGGGTGTGACCCCCCCGTCCCCTCCCCCCAGCGCAGGGCTCCCCCCGCTCCTCCCCCAGTGCAGGGGCCTGAGGGGTGTGACCCCCCCCGTCCCCTCCCCCCAGCGCAGGGCTCCCCTCTCCCCCCGCTCCCCCCCCAATGCAGGGGCCTGAGGGGTGTGACCCCCCCGTCCCCTCCCCTAGCGCAGGGCTCCCCCCGCTCCTCCCCCAGTGCAGGGGCCTGAGGGGTGTGACTCCCCCCACTCCCCCCCAGCGCAGGGCTCCCCGCTCCCCCCCAGCGCAGGGGCCAGAGGGGTGTGACCCTCCGTCCCCTCTCCCAGCACAGCGCTCCCCCCGCTCCCGCCCCCCAGCGCAGGGGCCTGAGGGCTGTGACCCCCCCGTCCCCTCCCCCAGCGCAGGGCTCCCACCGCTCTTCCCCCAGTGCAGGGGCCTGAGGGGTGTGACCCCCCGTCCCCTCCCCCAGCGCAGGGCTCCCCGCTCCCTCCCCCCAGCGCAGGGCCCCGGGGGGCTGTGACCCCCCCGTCCCCTACCCCAGCGCAGGGCTCCCCCCACTCCCCCCCAGCGCAGGGGCCTGAGGGCTGTGACCCCCCCGTCCCCTCCCCCAGCGCAGGGCTCCCCTCTCCCCCCGCTCCCCCCCCAGTGCAGGGGCCTGAGGAGTGTGACCCCCCCGTCCCCTCCCCCAGCGCAGGGCTCCCCCCACTCCCCCCCCAGTGCAGGGGCCTGAGGGGTGTGACCCCCCCATCCCCTCCCCCAGCGCAGGGCTCCCCCCGCTCCCCCCACAGTGCAGGGGCCTGAGGGGTGTGACCCCCCCGTCCCCCCCCAGCGCAGGGGCACCCCCCTCCCCCCGTCCCGTCCCCTCCCCCAGCGCAGGGCTCCCCCCGCTCCCTCCCCACAGCGCAGGGGCCTAAGGGGTGTGACCCCCCCGTCCCCTCCCCCCAGCGCAGGGCTCCCCCCGCTCCCCCCAGTGCAGGGGCCTGAGGGGGTGTGACCCCCCCATCCCCTCCCCCAGCGCAGGGCTCCCCGCTCCCCCCCCAGTGCAGGGGCCTGAGGGCTGTGACCCCCCCGTCCCCTCCCCCAGCGCAGGGCTCCCCCCGCTCCCCCCCAGTGCAGGGGCCTGAGGGGTGTGACCCCCCCACTCCCCCCCCAGCGCAGGGCTCCCCGCTCCCCCCCAGTGCAGGGGCCTGAGGGGTGTGACCCCCCACTCCCCCTCAGCGCAGGGCTCCCCGCTCCCCCCCAGCGCAGGGGCCAGAGGGGTGTGACCCTCCGTCCCCTCTCCCAGCACAGGGCTCCCCCCGCTCCCCCCAGCTCAGGGGCCTGAGGGCTGTGACCCCCCCGTCCCCTCCCCCCAGCGCAGGGCTCCCCCGCTCCCCCCAGTGCAGGGGCCTGAGGGGTGTGACCCCCATCCCCTCCCCCAGCGCAGGGCTCCCCCCGCTCTTCCCCCAGTGCAGGGGCCTGAGGGGTGTGACCCCCCGTCCCCTCCCCCAGCGCAGGGCTCCCCGCTCCCTCCCCCCAGCGCAGGGCCCCGGGGGGCTGTGACCCCCCCGTCCCCTCCCCCCGCGCAGGGGGCCTGAGGGGTGTGACCCCCCGTCCCCTCCCCCAGCGCAGGGCTCCCCCCCTCCCCCCCCAGCGCAGGGGCCTAAGGGGTGTGACCCCCCCCGTCCCCTCCCCCAGCGCAGGGCTCCCCCCGCTCCCCCCCAGCGCAGGGGCCTGAGGGGTGTGACCCCCCCATCCCCTCCCCCAGCGCAGGGCTCCCCCCGCTCCCCCCCCAATGCAGGGGCCTGAGGGGTGTGACCCCCCCCGTCCCCTCCCCCAGCGCAGGGCTCCCCCCCGCTCCTCCCCCAGTGCAGGGGCCTGAGGGGGTGTGACTCCCCCCCACTCCCCCCCAGCGCAGGGCTCCCCGCTCCCCCCAGCGCAGGGGCCAGAGGGGTGTGACCCTCCGTCCCCTCTCCCAGCACAGGGCTCCCCCCGCTCCCGCCCCCCCAGCGCAGGGGCCTGAGGGCTGTGACCCCCCCGTCCCCTCCCCCAGCGCAGGGCTCCCCCCGCTCTTCCCCCAGTGCAGGGGCCTGAGGGGTGTGACCCCCCAGCGCAGGGCTCCCCCCGCTCTTCCCCCAGTGCAGGGGCCTGAGGGGTGTGACCCCCCGTCCCCTCCCCCAGCGCAGGGCTCCCCGCTCCCTCCCCCCAGCGCAGGGCCCCGGGGGGCTGTGACCCCCCCGTCCCCTTCCCCCAGCGCAGGGGGCCTGAGGGGTGTGACCCCCCGTCCCCTACCCCAGCGCAGGGCTCCCCCCACTCCCCCCCAGCGCAGGGGCCTGAGGGGTGTGACCCCCCGTCCCCTCTCCCAGCGCAGGGCTCCCCCCGCTCCCCCCCCAGCGCAGGGGCCTGAGGGGTGTGACCCCCCATCCCCTCTCCCAGCGCAGGGCTCCCCCCGCTCCCCCCCAGTGCAGGAGCCTGAGGGGTGTGACCCCCCGTCCCCTCCCCCAGCGCAGGGCTCCCCCTGCTCCCCCCCCAGCGCAGGGGCCTGAGGGGTGTGACCCCCCCCTGTCCTCTCCCCCAGCACAGGGCTCCCCCCGCTCCCCCCCCCAGCACAGGGGCCTGAGGGGTGTGACCCCCCCCCCGTTCCCTCCCCCAGCTCAGGGCTCCCCCCGCTCCCCCCCCAGCGCAGGGGCCTGAGGGGTGTGACCCCCCATATAGAGCTCAGGCCCAGGGGTGCTCAGCTGTGCCCCCTCTGTTGCAGGTGCCGAGTGAGGACGTCTCCGTCTCCCGCCCCGCAGGCCTGGGTGGCAGGAGTGGAGTGGCAGAGCCGTGGGCCAGGGACGGTGGAGCCCGTGGCCTGGCGGTGGGAGGATAAAGCCGCGTGAATTACAGGTGGGACAGACCCTCTCGGACACGGCTTGCCCGGGTGGGCTCCTGCCAGTGCCTTGGAGCAGGTCCTCAGGCCCAGTCTCTGCATGCCGCTCTCACGGGCTAGTTGGAGGGAAAAGGGCCCCATGGCACCAAGTGCCCTGCTGGGGCTGCCTGCTGGTGCCCACTGCGCTGGCATCCCGGTAAGGGAATGGAGATGCCATGTGTCAGAGAGGCCTGAGACAGAACATCTGGAAATAGCCAAGCCTCAAGCCCCAGCTTTGACTGCGCTGTGCTGCCCACTGGCTCTGAGCTGCCTCCAGCATCCCAGGGCGATTCAAGGGCTGGGAATCCAGCTGGAGCTCGCTGGGTTAGTGTCTCCAGGGGAGGGGTCGGCGGTGCCGTGCGTGCCGTCTGCAGGTGCCCGGAGCCCGGTCCGTGCAGGGGAGGGGTCGGCGGTGCCGTGAGCGCCGTCTGCAGGTGCCCGGAGCCCGGTCTGTGCAGGGGAGGGGTCGGCGGTGCCGTGAGCGCCGTCTGCAGGTGCCCGGAGCCCGGTCCGTGCAGGGGAGGGGTCGGCGGTGCCGTGCGTGCCGTCTGCAGGTGCCCGGAGCCCGGTCCGTGCAGGGGAGGGGTTGGCGGTGCCGTGAGCGCTGTCTGCAGGTGCCCGGAGCCCGGTCCGTGCAGGGGAGGGGTCGGCGGTGCCGTGAGCGCCGTCTGCAGGTGCCCGGAGCCCGGTCTGTGCAGGGGAGGGGTCGGCGGTGCCGTGAGCGCCGTCTGCAGGTGCCCGGAGCCCGGTCCGTGCAGGGGAGGGGTCGGCGGTGCCGTGCGTGCCGTCTGCAGGTGCCCGGAGCCCGGTCTGTGCAGGGGAGGGGTCGGCGGTGCCGTGAGCGCCGTCTGCAGGTGCCCGGAGCCCGGTCTGTGCAGGGGAGGGGTCGGCGGTGCCGTGAGCGCCGTCTGCAGGTGCCCGGAGCCCGGTCCGTGCAGGGGAGGGGTCGGCGGTGCCGTGAGCGCCGTCTGCAGGTGCCCGGAGCCCGGTCTGTGCAGGGGAGGGGTCGGCGGTGCCGTGAGCGCCGTCTGCCGGTGCCCGGAGCCCGGTCTGTGCAGGGGAGGGGTCGGCGGTGCCGTGGGCGCCGTCTGCAGGTGCCCGGAGCCCGGTCTGTGCAGGGGAGGGGGCTCTGCGGCAGACGGCCCTTCACTCCGACAGGCAGGGCTTGGACGAGAGCTGTCCTGGCTGGGAATAAGGAGCCGCTTTTCCCTGGGCAGGGTCACCCCGTTCGGAACAACTGAGCTGGTGGGGGAGTGTGTGTGTCAGTGAATCCAGGCCAGGCATCTCTCTGACAGCCCTACTCTAACTTAGCCGGCTGGGCTGGGCCGGGCCGGATGCAGGAGTCCCTGGGGGATGCCCTGGGCTCTGCAAGAGGCTGAGTGGGGTGGGCAGAACGGTCCCCCAGCCTGAAATCTCTGACCCCGGGGAAGCTCCATGCTGGTCTGCAAGCTGTGAACCCATAGCTACTCAGAGGGAGGACACCTGACCTGCCCCCCCACCCCATGGGGCAGGCCAGGGTCTGCAGCATCTTTCTGACCCCTGTGCACTGACTTCATAGGGGCTGGAGCCCCTGGCTTCCCCCATTTACCCTCCCTATACCGGCACAGGGTCCATCTGGGCTCAGACTTGGAGAGTAACTTACTGCACCAGATCGATCGCACAGGCTGAGGATCTCGGATACTTCACACACCCTTGCCCATGAGCACCAAGATTCCCTGGGCTGAGGGGTCCGCGTTAAGGGGAAGGTAAGCGAGGGGGTGGGGCAGATTCAGGGTCGTAGAGCTCCCAGCCTGTGAGGTGTGTGCTGAGCTGTTTAATCTTATCATCAGACTTGTGCCAGCTCTGTGCTGGTGAGTGGGTGCCCCGGCCTGGCTCGGAGCTGGGCGGGGGGAGGGCCAGTGGTTCTGGGCCCGGGGTCAGAACTGCTCTTTGTTTCTGTAAACGCCCTTTGCTGCCCATAATGAGCCGCACTGGAGAAGGCAGCAAGCGAGCAGCGCTCGCAGGTGCCGTGGGAGGAGTGCCCTTGCTGCATGCCTGGGGGGGCCTGGGGAGCAGTGCACCCACCCGGCTCCCCCCCTCCCGCTTGCCTGGCTGGTGCTTCCACCAGAACTGCCAAGCTTGAAACCCAGCTCGTGTGCTGGGCTGGACCGGACCCACCTGGAGCACACAGAATGGCCTCCCTCCACACCGCACACCTGGCTGGGGAGCTGTGAATTACCTGCCTGTCTCCTGCTCACACCTTCCCACTCCACACCTGCCTGGCAGCGTCTCCAGCGAACGTGCCTGTGACCTCGGTGTCTCTGCAGATCCCGCCCCAGAGGGCGCCTCTGAGATGGAGCCAAGTGTTGGGGGCAGAGGAATCCCAGATGCTCCTTGCGCAGGTGAGTGATGCTGACTCACCTGCACCGCCCCGGTAGCGAAATGCCAGCAGACGGGCATCCTGCACTAGTGCGCCAGGCCCAGCAGCATGGCTGGAGCTTTCCAGGGGAGACCTCCCTGACATTCCCAGCTGGCCTGTGGGTTGCTGCGCTGCCCCCGGGCCCACCCTTCCTGGGGAGCAGGCGTCTTGGCAGTACGCAAGCTGCGCTGTTCGTGGAGCTCCTGGGGCAGCCCTCAGTGCCACGAACCCTGGGTTAGTCCTGGCCCCACGGGGGAGCTGGATATGTCCCAGGGTCTCCACTCCCAGGACAAACCCCTGCCTGATGGCACCACCCAGAATGACTCCAACACCTCCTGCTCGCAGCTGGTGTCAGAGCACTTGGGAGAGGCCCACAGGGCTGGGCGCGGGGAGCCAAGGGGGAGAGGGGCTTGTTCGCCGCAGGGCTCCCTGCCCGGTGCCTGCAGCAGGTGAGTTGGAGCTGGGGATCCCCCACAGGGAGCGCTGGGGTGTGGGGGCTCTGGCCCAACACGGGGAGTTTGCATCCCAGCCGCTCTGGGCTCCTTCCTGATTCTGTTTCCGCAGCAGGCGCTGGGGGCTGGAGCATCAGAGAGGAGCGGAGCGACACGCCAGGATCCCGGGAAGTGAAAGCAGAGAGCGTGGCCGAGAGCCTGGGATGTGGGGAGCTCCTGGCCCCGGGGAGCGGCTGTGTCGGGGGCGTGCTGCTGATCTGCACTGAGTGCGGGGAGAGCTTCGGGCATCACGAGGCCCTGATCGCCCACCAGCGAGGCCACGCCGGGCAGGGGGCAGGGCCCTTCACCTGCCCCCAGTGCCAGAAGGGCTTCGAGCACAGAGCCAGCCTGGTGGCCCACCGGCGCGTGCACACGGGTGAGCGCCCCTACGCCTGTGCCCAGTGCGGGAGGGGCTTCCGCTACAAGACTTGCCTGGCGGTGCACCAGCGTGCCCACTCCGGCCAGCGCCCCCACCGGTGCCCGCAGTGCAGTGCGGCCTTCCTGCAGCGCGGGGACCTGCACGCCCACCTGGGCACGCACCCGGGTGAGCGCCCCTTTGCCCGCCCCGCGGGCGGCCTCCGCTTCCCGTCCCGCCGGGCCCTCACCTGCCACCCGGGCCTGGGCCCCCACCGGTGCCCCCAGTGCGGGCACAGCTTCCGCCACAAGCGCAACTTGGTGCGGCACCAGCGTGGCCATGCCGGCGCCCAGCCCTACCGCTGCCCCCAGTGCGGGGACGGCTTCTGCTACAAGCAGAGCCTGGTGGCCCACCAGCGGGAGCACACCGCCCCCCGGCCCTACCCCTGCCCCCAGTGCGGCACCAGCTTCCAGCACCAGGCCAACCTGGCCATCCACCAGCAGAGCCACGCCCCCCCGGCCACCTACTCCTGCCCCCAGTGCCAGCAGAGCTTCAAGTACAAGGGCTACCTGCACATGCACCAGCGGAAACACTCGGCCCCCGAGGCCGAGGGGCGGGAGCGCCAGGCCCTGCACGGCGGGGGGAGGCTCTTCACCTGCGCTCAGTGTGGGAGGGGCTTCAAGAACAACGGCTTCCTCATCATCCACCAGCGAGCCCACGCGGCCGGGGCAGGGAGTGCCAGCCCCACCCCTTGGGGCACCTAGCCCCTCTGCCAGGCCTTGTGCCATCAGCGTTGCCCAGGAGCCGCAGCAAGGAGCTCTGAGCATGGCCAGGAGGGGCCCAGCCTGCCGACGGGGGTGCTGTCCATGGGCCCGGTGCTAGAGGGAGGGGAGGGCTGGGCTGCTCGAACCTAGGGGGTCCAACTTAGGCTACTGGGCGTTGTCTGAAAGCACCAGCTCCGGGAGTCCTGGGGGAACGGCAGCTTTGGATTCAAAGTGCGGCTGTGGTGCCGGCAGGCGAAGGGCTAGTGGGGTGTCTGAGGACATGGAGTATGTGGGGCCGGGCCTTTCTGCTGCTGGCTGCCTGCCCTGTTGCCAGGTGGGTTTACCAGCCATGCCTGGTGCCCCTAGTTCTCTCTCTGGGCCCCTCTGCCCCATTTGCCCTTCAGGGTAGAAGCTGCTGAGCCTGGACTGCGAAGTCCCTGGATGTGGCCCCTTGGGGCATGACGGGCCCTGGTCGGGGGCAGTTTTCTGGCTGGTGTGCCCAGCTGTGAGGGGCTTTGCCTTGGCATGGCCCCCGTGAGCCTGCTGCTGGGAGCCGGCAGATAAAAAGGGGGCCCAAGTGTGTTGCGGGGGCTGGAGGAAACGCCTGCCCTGAGACACTCGCCAGGCTCAGTCTGCTCCAGAGCTGCCTGGATCGCGGCGCAGCCGGGCTTCCCACAGAGGCAGAGCCAGCCCGTGGCACAGCGCTGACATTGGACCCCTTCAGACTGAAATAAGGTGGATGTTAACATAGCCCATCCCCCCGGAAACCACTCCTGGGGTGTTACTCCCTCACCCCCACCACACCAAGCTGCCCAGCTGTGGGGGGTCTCTGCACTGGGTCGGAGCCTGCCCCCATGGCCGGGGGGTGGGCAGGCCCTGGGTAAAGCAGGGGCTGAAGGCCCTGGCCCTAGAGGTGTGGGGCTCCTGCTGGAGGGGGCTGTTAGTGGCTGTTGGAGCCATGTGGCCAGGTCCACGCGTCCCACTGGGCTCTGCTCCAGCATGGGGCTGGCTGCATGGATCGTGGTTGTGGCGTTGGTGGGAGGCAGGTCCAGCCCCCCTGTGGCTAATCACCACCTCCCTGCTGAGGCTGGTGGCAGGGGCCAGTGTTTACCTGGGCCCCAGTGTGCTCCAGAGGCTGGGGGCCAGACCCCAGCTCAGCTCCACTCGACACCCGGGCCGAGGGGCTGCAGGGGCCAGAGCTGGTGGGAGATCGGGCAGGGCCCGTGTGGCTGGAGAAGTGAAGTGCTGCAAGAAGGCCTGGGATCCGGCTGGTGCGTGTTTTGCCAAGCTCCCTGCCCCCAGGGCTGCCCCCCGTCTGCAGAGCCGCTGTGGTCCCAAGCGTCCCCTGTTCTGGGGCTGCACGCAGGCTCGGTGCCCGCATCGCCTGCCGGCAGCGCTCGGCATACCAGTGTCTTCGTCGGCAGCCGCCTGGCTGCGGCCCCTGCAGAAAGGCTGGTGCTGGGCGAGCGGATGCTCAGGGCGGGGAAAGACACGGTCACTTGGCCAATGCTCTGGGCTGCATCCAGTGGGGTGCAGAAGGGGGGGATCCTGTCCCACCCCCACTCATCATACATAGCAGAGGTGTGCAGGGGGGAGGAGCAAACCTCAGGCTGACCAGTTACCCCAGCACAGCCCGTGGGGCTCTGACCCCCCATCTCCCAGTCTGAAGAGTGTTGTGGGCAACGCCCGTATTTCTGGGCACCCCAAGAGCTGACCTGCCTTGACCGCTCTCTGTACCGTCGCAGAGCCAGCAGCCTGGATGTGGGTGTCTGGGTCCCCGTGGCTTAGAGCCTGAGCAGGGGGCAAGTCTCCCGGTGGGATCTGTCTCAGCTGCTGCAGCCGCCTCCGAGCGGGGTCAGCGGAAAGGCGGCCGTTTGCCCCGGCGGGAATGTTCTGCTGGGTGGTTGGGAAGCTCCCCATCTTGGAGCCAGGGGTGCCCCTTTTGCTGGTCCCAGGGAAAGTCAGCAAGTGACAAGCCCAGAGCAGTTGTAGGTCCCGTGTGCAGGAGAGGATGGGCAGGGCCCAGAGCCAGCTCCAGGGAGGTGACTTTCCCAGCAGTGCACACAAGCTCTGGCAGGGGCAGACTCCAGTTCTTCAGGGCAGCATTCAGCTGCCTTAGCCATGAAACCATCCTCCCACAATCCGCCGTCTCGTTCAGTGTGCAACTTCCTGCAGCCATTCCTGCCACCCCAGGCTCCTGCACTGCACAGCCAGGGTTCGTCCCCATGGCCTGTCTGTCCTGTGCACCCAATGAGGCGGGGACCTGAGGGAAGCACAGGGTGTGAGCCTAATGCCGACACCCAAGGGACCAAGGGAGGGGCAGCGGAAAGCTTCACTCTGGCATCTAACTTTGGGGCTGGATTTTCACACCCTTGTGCTCTTCCACTGTACGGTATTTATTAAATAGTGTTAAATCCCCTACAGCTGCCCATCTGCAGCCAGCATATGACTGGGTTGGGTGTGGGGGTGTCACATCTTTGCACAGTGCGTGCTCGGACTGTGGAACTCACTGCCACAAGGCAGGGGGGAGAGCCAGCACCCAGCAGGGCTCAAAAAAGGGCCAGGTGTTTTCTTGGGGCCTGAGAACATGGAGCTCGGAGAGGAAGGGACCTGGAAGAAAGACTCTGCTACACTGGGCCCGAGCCTGCCTCTCGCAGCAGGGCCAGGGACTGCATTGGGGCTGCCTTCACCCTTGACTAGTGAGGACGGGGAGGGAAAAAGGCTGCAGTGACCAGGCACGGCACAGCAAGGTCAGTGTCTGATGGGCAAGCTCAGCATGACTGTTGTATTCCTTTAGCTGGAATGAAAGCCCCGGGTCACTGTCCGGTGTTAGTGTCAAGGACCTCAGCCTGCGTAGCACAATGGCAAATGCACCATTGAAAATCCTTTTAACTCAGGACACAGAAGCAGGGAAGCCAGTTAAAGCCCTGAAATCTTGAAGTCTTGAGATACAGCAATGATCTCTTCGTCCTCTGGACAGACACCCTAAACACCCTCAGAGTTTGCCACCCCACTCCCTCCTGGCTAGTAAACTCTAGAGCGCTCCCAGACAACCATATACAAGAAACCCGCAGATCACCATCCCAAACACACCAAGACACCTGGTATCTACAGCCAGGCCCTCCGCTACCACAGAATATGCTCCAAGGAGAAAGTACGGGATATGCGCCTTAACATACCTTGGATTGCATCATGGAACAGGTGCCCTAAGCCTGTAAGATCTGAGGCTTCTGCTATAAAGACAGCAGCCATCAGCCAAGAAGCAGGAAGTCACAACCTCACGTTCCATCTAAATTACATTAAAACAATGTCCTATCAGGCTGTTCAGAAGGCTCCTGTCCGAATAGCACCCATCATCGTCAGACACAGAAACAGAGCTTAAGATGGTTAAAGAAAGCTTAGTTTGATGGCATTCTGTCCGGCAAGACACCACTTATCAACAGTTGTGGTGTGAAATCCCGACTTTATTATTGTTTTGTCTTTATGGTCCCCACGTCTCTACTGTTTCTCTGTCTGGTTCTTTGATTGATTCTGGCTGCTGTGTAACTAATTTCCCAGGATTGGTGGAGGCGGTGGGGTCTGATCTGGTGAAGGAGCATTCCACCGTACGTGAGGCTTGGTTAAGGAATCGTTTCGTACCATGACTGGTAACGTACAAATAGGCAGGGTGTAAGTGCCATGATAAAACTTGGGGTCCCAGATGAACCTGGAGGAAGAACTCCCCTCCAGGACACAGCCCAGCGCAAGTTAAAGCTGCCAGAAGACCCTGCGGTGCAGCAGCCGGCCCTCCAGACGACTTGAGCTTTGTGTGGCCGGGGGGAAGATCGGCTGTGTGCTTGGGTGTGGTGTGCATTGTGTGTTCAGCGGGGCATTCTGTCTGGTAACCGTTAATAAATACCGGTTAAGGATATTATTGTTTAAGGCTCTTTCACTGGGGAAAGGCCCTGCAGAGTCATGAGTCCACTGGGAATGGGTGTTAGCCCGGAGCCCATGGAGGGGTAAAGTTGGGTCTCTTACTTCCTGAGTACCCAAAAGAGAAGGTAGGGATAAGAAGAGAACCTGGTTCAGTACATGAAAAACCCCAAAAGCCACTCACCCCGCACACTTTAGTTGGGTTCCAGTGTGGGGCCGTAGATGACATATGGGGTATCTTTAAACAATTGCAACCCATAGTGGGGACCCCATCCTGGAAGAAGTTTTTCCTGAACCCCCCAACCTCACCAAGCTCATCATCAGAAGCAAGCTCCCCTCAGACCAGGACACAGCGACTCAAAGCGGCGCCAGACCCCTGCCAGAACAACAGATGGAAAACCTGCAGCCATATCTCCACTGTTACAATGATCAACACCCCCCACAACACACTTTTCAAGGTCCAAGGGTCCTACACATGCCTATCACAAGATGTGGTGTACCTCGTCCAGTGCGCTAAATGCCCCAATAACTGCTGTGTGGGTGAAACCAGACTATCACTGTGCGCTCGAATGACCTCACACAGGAAAATGATAAAAGAAAAACATCCTATCACCGGTGGTGAACGGCTCACAATGCAATCGCTCATCAGCCCTTGTCCTCAAAGGAAACCAGCACAACCCTTTCAACAGACAAGCCTGGGAGCATCAGTTCATTGCTCTGCTAGACACTAAACCTCATGGGCTAACGAAAGACACTGACTATGGCGTATTACAACAAACCCAGTGTTGTGGAAAACGAGGCACACCGTCTGTTTGGTTCAAACAGTCTGAGGGCCCGTTATTGGTGAATACAAGAATGCAGGGAGAAGGAGACAGAGATGGTCACACACAGGTGCCACCCTGGTCTCCCCCTGTCCTGCCCCTAGAATACCAGTCTCAGATAGTTTTTTACATTTTAGTCAAATGATACATTTCCTTAATGTTTTTATCACTCAAGCATTGTTAATAAAGCCTTATAAGGCGCCAAGGTAAACAGCTTTATCATTAGCATTGTGTTGACGCACTTTGTTATTATTCAAGATCTGCGGTTTGCTTGTGGCAGTGTTTGGCTAGGGGCTGTTGCAGGTTTGGGGCGGGTGGTACATAACAGGCAGCTAGGCGAAAGGGTGGCCTAGTTTGTTATCTGTGTCAAAATACCATGGCCCAGCATGTGCTCGTAGCGTAAGCGAAGTCTTACAGGATGCAGGCACGTAAGTCTCTTGCGTTACTGCGTTCACATCTAGTGCATAGGTCTTGTCACAAAGTGGGCTAGGGTCAGGTCAACAATACTTTCCTCCACACCAGTAACCCCCCTTTCTGGGGCCTTTGACAGGAGACGTGTTAATGGGCCACCTCTCCTCAAATGGCCTCTTAGGGTCTGTATTAACTCCTTCTGCGAAACATCTGGTGCACCTTGGATTTATTTGTGATGCTCTGGGTATGTCTACACTGCAATGTAAGCCCAGGGCTCAAACGCTGACTCAAGCCTACCCCCTCCCACCCATCTACACGCAAATCACACTGACCCAGGGTCCCATGGGGATGGAGGGGCTAAACCTGAGTCAAGCCAGGACCCAGGGTCAAGCCCTGTTGCTTTGTAGTTTAGTTGTAGACCCCATTGGACTTGTGCTCTGGAACTCTGCCAAAAGGATCCCGCGAGTCCGTGGGTCGACTTTGCTCTGGGCAGTCAGTCGCCCACGTTGCACCACAAACAAAGGGCTAGAATGGCCCCATTTGGGGAGGGCGCTAGGAAGTCTGGGATGTGGTGGTTGGCCTTGGTCCCAGGTAATGCAGTGTGGATGCTGGAGCCCCAGGTTGGCAGCCAGGGTTCAGCAATTCCTAGCCTGGGGTTACACACGAGTGTAGATGTTCAGTCCCTAGGCTAACAAACCCAGGGGCTGCTAGCTCGTGTTCTAGCCCGGGCCGTGCCTGGCAGCAGAGACAGCCCCTACGAGCACTTCCAGCCCTGGAGACGAGCGCTGGGCAAGCTTGTCTCCTCCCCCAGCAGACATTGATCCCAGAAAAGCTCTGACCTCGCCCAGCTTGGCTCCCTCATGCCCTGGGGCCGGCAGGGCTGCAGCTACCCTGAAAACAGCCTGCAGCTGGTAACTGGGGGGGGGAGAACAGCAGTGCTGGTTCGTCTCCCCGGGAAGCGCTGCAGCGGCCCAGCTGTGTCGCGGAGTAACTACGGGGAGCGAGGGGTTCGTTCGTCCCCAGGACACACACCTCTCTGGGGTGACGGAAGAATCCCTCCATCGGCCTAGCCAGGCCTACCCCGGCCCTAGGTCGGCTTACCCCCCTCTCAGCGGGCAGGCCCTTTCCCCAAGCTCCGAGCCAAGCCGGTAGGGCGACCTGGCTGGGCAGTGCAGGCCAGGCCTTAGCCACGGGGCCGGGAGCCAGTGTGAGGCCAACCCTGTTCCCCACCAAACACCTACACACAAGGGGGAAGAGAAAAGCAGCAAAGGTGGAAAATGCAGGTCTGGGTCTGGGCTTGCCTTCACTGGCCCCTCCCTGCTGGGGAAAGCCAGGCCCAGCCTCTGGCAAGTGCCTCCCGGAGCAGCCCTCATGACACCCAGCCCATCCGCTGGTACCAACCCTGAGCCGCTCAAGGCCCTGGATTTCGTGGGTTCTTCTGGTCACAGGCTCACGGCAGTGCGCCAAACTCTCCAGCCCCGGCTGGCTGAGCCGGACTTGTCCAGGCAGGCGGCAGCTGGCGAGGGACGGAAGGGGGCGCTCGCAGGGACAAAGCCGCGGGTCCCAAGCTCTCGCTGCTGGCTCCTGAGTTCCTCTCTCCGGCTTGGTCAGGACACGGCTCAGGACCAGGACAAGGGCGGCACAATGCCGGCAGGCTGAGAACCAGGAGAATCAGCCCGCCTTGGCGCTGCCCGCGCCGCCCTCTCGGCCTGCAGCCTGGCTGCCGTCGCCAGCTGCCCCCTGAAGGGCGTGAGGGCGGAACAGCCCAGCCCCCCGGTACCTCACCTTGGGCCCAGCACATGCTTGTGGGTCACGGATTCCTGGCTCCACACGTCCCCTCTACCTGGCCTGGGTTTCACAGGTCCAGCCAAAGGCAGAGGCTGCCCGGCCTGTGATGGAGGAACTCTTTGTTTTGTTCTGGGTGCAGAGACCCAGCTGCTCAGCTGCATCTGACTCTCCCTGTGGGCCCCTGACCCAGCGCAGGATGGGGCTGGCCTTGTAGCAGCAGGGCTGGGTGCAGTGAGGGCCAGGGAAGGGCACTCGCCCATACACATGATGGTGGATGGCCTGGCTTGCTGTGTCCGTGATAGGGGCTCTCCTCGCTGGGCACGCACAGGACTCCCTGCTGCAGGAAGTGGTGCCCGCACTGGGTACAGGTGAAGGGCGCTTGCCCAGGTGCAGCCGCTGCTGTGGAGTCAGGCACATCCTGGCCCTGCCCACCTTCCTGCACTGGGCACAGGCCCCACCTGAGGAGCCCAGCCTGCCCCACTAACCCAGAAAGGTGTCTGGTGGGAGACCAGGGTGAGGTGGCACCCACAGGTCTGCAGGACATGACCCCTGCTGGCCATTCCCCAGGGCCAGAAGCTGCCCTCCCTGGGGCACACTCTCCCTACACCCCAGCCTCTCGGCCGCTCTCTCTGCTGTCAGCCCCGGGGATCCCAGCGCATGCTCCAGCCCAGAGACAAACTCCCCGGCTGGGTCAGAGCCCCCCAGCACTCCTTCCGCAGGGATGAACCTGCCAGGGACCCCCAGCGCCCATGTCCCTGCCACAGGCCCCAGCCGGGAGCCCTCAAGGGAATGAGCCCCTCTCTTCCCACCAGCCCATGGGGCATCTGCGGGGAAGCTGGTGGGGCCTGTCGGGCTCAGCGTGCACCCCCTGCTGGGCTGTCACCGATTTCCAGGGGGTTGCACAGCCGCAGGGGGCAGCCAGTCAGCCATGGGGCCCCCAAGCTGCCTCCAGGCTGGGGCTCTGGGGAGAGGGTGCAGGAGAACATGGCAGCGTTTCCTGCCACTGCTGGGGTGCCCCCATGCTGGAGAGGGTCAGAAGGCTCTGGCCTGGGACTGACCCTGTAGTGGGGGACAGGCCAGGGCTGGGCCAGGCCAAGGCTCCCCTGGCCCCACGGTGGTTCAGGGGAGGGGTTTCCTCCAGGCTGGTGCTCCCTGCCGGGCGTTTGCTAGAAGGACGGAGGGGGAAATTGAGCATCGTTCCCTGGCTGGAGGTGTCCCCTCCCCCTTGGGATCTCCAATATACGACCCTTCTCTGCCCCCGTTCCCCCGAACAGGTGAGATTAGCCCAACGCAAACCAGGCCTGTCTCTTATCTCCAGAGCTGGGACCGGGAGCAGCCACTCGCAGGGAACGGAAATAAAATCTCCAGCCATACTGGAGACAGAGTCAAGGGGAAAAACTGAAAGGAAATATAACGAATGGAAAATGAATTGACTGAAGAGCTGGGATAGATGAAAAGAGAGCCTGACACTGGCAAACGAGAAACCCTCCCACAGGACCCACAGCAACAAACAATTAACAGGCAGCCAGTTCAAAACAACCAAACGAAGTGATTCATCACCCAACACACAGACAACCTGTGGAACTCACTGCCAGGGGATGTTGAAGACCAAGATTATGACAGGGTTCAAAAAAGAACTAGATCAATTCCTGGCACGTAGGTCCCTCCGTGGTGATGATCCAGGACGGGCAGGGACACAACCCCACACTCTGAGTGTCCCCAGACTGTTTGCCAAAAGCTGGGGCTGGAGGACAGAGAACGGCTCACTCCATAGTGCCCTGTCCTGTGCATTTGTGACGAAGTGGGACTGTTCTTAATGTTTCCTCTGAATAGTGTGGGGGTGCCTCAGTTTCCCCTAGGCAGTTCTTAAGTATCTAGGGGGTGGGGTAAGGGTGTATGATCATTGCAGAGCCCTAGAGGGCAGGTGTGTGCAGGGGTCTGGACACAGAGAATGGCCAACACCCTGTTTCCTGGCAACTGATGGCCTGGGCCCTTCCCCCCTGCAAGGTGAGAGCTAAAGGGTTGGAGAACAAAGGAATCAGGTGACCACCTGGCCCGGGAAAGGAACAAAGCCCAGAGGAGGAGGGACTGGAGGGGGTTTTCAGTTTGGGGCTGGCTGGGACATGGAGTGAAGTGCAGACGTGGTTGTCTGGCTCACTGCCCCCCAAAATGGACCCAGCTGAGGGGTCCCGTTCTCTGCACCTGCAAGCTCTATTTTAGACCATGTTCCTGTCATCTAATAAACCTTCTGTTTTACTGGCTGGCTGAGAGTCATGTCTGACTGCGAAGTTGGGGTGCAGGACCCTCTGGCTTCCCCAGGAGCCCCGCCTGAGCGGACTCGCTGGGGGAAGCGCACGGAGGGGCAGAGGATGCTGAATGCTCCGAGGTCAGACCCAGGAAGGTGGAAGCTGTGTGAGCTGTGTGTCCTGAAGACAGGCTGCTCACAGAAAGGCGACTGCCCCAGAGTCCTGACTGGCTTCATGGGGAGCAGTTCCAGAGCATCGCCCAGGGACTCCGTGACAACTGGTGGCAGCGGTGGGATGTACTGCACCCCGTGGATGGCGCTTCCTGCAGTAAGTGACTGGGGAGCAGTAACACGAAGGGGGATTGCCGAGGACCAGGCCTGCTGAAGGCTCAGAAAGGAGCGGTTTCGGGGGGCGGTTAACCCCTCGGAGTGTGTGACCAGCGAGAAGGACTGTGCAGTAATGGGGTCCCCCTGGGGACTGCAGTGAGCAGTCTCAGGGGCGGAGGAGTCTGCAGCTCGACCCTGGCAAAGAGGTGGTGACCTCGAGAAGGGCTGGCACACTAGGCGGTTCTCCCTGGAAACCGTGGGGAGCTGAGAACACACGGGCCTGTGAGTCCACAACAACTTGGGAGGAGCGGAGTGATGGCCTGTCCCCGTCTCCTTAAGAAGGACATTGTAACCCTGTGCAGAAAGAGAGGGTTGAGCATTGGAAAGTTCACCAAAGCAGAGTTAATCATGCAGCTGGAGGAGGATGACCGCTCTAAGGAACAGATTCCTGACCCCAACTGGGGCTATAGCAGGATCTGGGAGCGGCTGGAGTGGGAGCCAGGCATCGCCAAGACTCCTGTCCCCGACCAGACGGGGGTCTTCACAATCGGGTTCCCCATCGGGGGATCGAGACGGACGGGATTGGAGCTGAGTCCGAGAGAGCAAGAGGACCGTGGGAGACAGCGAGAGCCCGAGAAAGAGCTGCAGAAGCAGCAGCAGCATGAACTGGCGGTGGGGGAGCGGAGAGGCCTACGGGACCTCCCCGGGGTGAGTGGAGATAGATCCCGGGGGGCCAGTTCCGCAGGGAACCTCGAGACTAAATTGCTGCCCCTAGTTAATGGGGGGGGGGTTTGGATGCCCACCTCACTGCCTTTGAGCAGGCTGGCGATTTGAACCAGGGGGACCCTGCGGAAAAGCCCTGGTGTCTAGCTCCCTTACTGGGTCCCAAGGCCATAGACTCCGCCAGCCAGATGGTTGGGGATGTGGACAGGCTCCCACTCCTGACCCCAACCTATATGTCTGTGTGGAGTGTCCTGGGGCCAGGCCCCTCGGACCCCCAGTGGGAGCAGAAGGTGATGGTCAATGGGGAGACATTCTTGGGGTGGCCAAAGGGCATGGGCTGCATAAACCTTCCCACATGCGGCCTGCGAGTGCTATCGACCACCCCTGACCTAAGGGAGGGTGTGAAAATGGAAGGGCCTGGTGTAACTCCTACCAAGGAATGGGAGAGATGCTGGGGCATCCATGGGAACGTTGGTGGCTTCGAACTTCCCCAGGTCACCGGCTAAAGTGACCCCGCTCAGTTCGATCTCGAAGGGGGGAGAGATGTGACGAAGTGGGACTGTTCTTAATGTTTCCTCTGAATAGTGTGGGGGTGCCTCAGTTTCCCCTAGGCAGTTCTTAAGTATCTAGGGGGTGGGGTAAGGGTGTATGATCATTGCAGAGCCCTAGAGGGCAGGTGTGTGCAGGGGTCTGGACACAGAGAATGGCCAACACCCTGTTTCCTGGCAACTGATGGCCTGGGCCCTTCCCCCCTACAAGGTGAGAGCTAAAGGGTTGGAGAACAAAGGAATCAGGTGACCACCTGGCCCGGGAAAGGGACAAAGCCCAGAGGAGGAGGGGCTGGAGGGGTTTTCAGTTTGGGGCTGGCTGGGACATGGAGTGAAGTGCAGACGTGGTTGTCTGGCTCACTGCCCCCCAAAATGGACCCAGCTGAGGGGTCCCGTTCTCTGCACCTGCAAGCTCTATTTTAGACCATGTTCCTGTCATCTAATAAACCTTCTGTTTTACTGGCTGGCTGAGAGTCACGTCTGACTGCGAAGTTGGGGTGCAGGACCCTCTGGCTTCCCCAGGAGCCCCGCCTGAGCAGACTCGCTGGGGGAAGCGCACGGAGGGGCAGAGGATGCTGAATGCTCCGAGGTCAGACCCAGGAAGGTGGAAGCTGAGTGAGCTGTGTCCTGAAGACAGGCTGCTCACAGAAAGGCGACTGCCCCAGAGTCCTGACTGGCTTCATGGGGAGCAGTTCCAGAGCATCGCCCAGGGACTCCGTGACAGCATTCCCTCAAGCCCCTGGCACCGAGCTGTTGGATGGCAGGATCCTGGGCTAACAGGGCCACGGGGCTGCCCCAGTCCGGCCGTTCTGACGACTAACCAGCTGTTGAAGGAATCCAGCTGAAGGGGGCGTAGTGGACAAGTGGGGCCCACTGGGTGAAGAAAGCGGCTTGTGGCCAGAGCGGGCGGAAGAGGTGCAGCCACGGGAACACCCTCTCTCTGGAGCACGTCAAGCCGAAGGGAAGGGGGGAGCGGGGCGTACAGCCGGTGCTGTGGCTGGTGACCATGAGGCAGGCCCAGCTGCCAGGGGAGCTCACAGCGGTTGGCAGGACAGGCTGGGAACGGGCCCTGTTACCGAGCCGGGGACAATTTGGCGGTTCCTGGATGAAGCTCAAACGGTCCCTTCGCCCTGGTTTGCCTCGGCGGCTCCTCAGCCCAGCCTAGGAGCCCGAGCGGGCATGCAAGGTCCTGTCCAAAACCGGCCCGAGCCGTGCCCAGCCCCTCGCGGGCCAAGAGAGGGGGAGGGTCATTACCAGCGGGGGGGGTGGCTCCTGCCGGGACGCAGGTCTGGGTGGGCCAGGGAGCTCCGTACCCCACGGGACGAGACCCCAGAGCAGATGGGCCTGGAGTCTTCGCTGAGCCCATCAAGACGGATCCCCAGAGACATGAGGCCTGAGGACTTGGCCCAGGCCCCCAGCCCGTTACTCCACTTGCCTGGGCCCCTGCACAGCCCGAGCTGGGGTGGGGGTGAGTCCCTGGGGTGGGGTGGGGGGGTGGTTCTGAGTCACATCCCCATCCCCATGGCAACCCCCAGAGCCCTGGCATGTTGGGGGCATGGCCAGAGCCCGCTCCAGGCAGGGGGAGGGGGCAGGAGATGAGATCAGGGGCTGATCGCTAGGGTAATGAAGCGGGTCTGGCTGGTCCCAGCTCCCCATGCCACCCCCTGCACCCCCCAACCCCATCTCAGACAACAGCTGCACTTGGCTTTTATTGGCGACGGGGCACAGCATGAACCTGGGCACCCAGCACCTTGCTGCGGGCCATGGCCCAAGCCCTGCCCGGGGCAGAACCGGGGGGGGGAGCCAGAGCCAGGAAGCCCCGCCCGGGGAGAGAGGAGGGGCCCATGGCTGGGCAGGCCCCAGCGCCAGAGGTCGGTGCACAGATCCAGGGTCTCTGCTGGGCTCGTCCCCGCTCAGGGCTGCTCCGTGGCCTGTCTGCGGATAAGCTCAGCATACAGCCCGCTCCGGCGTAGCAGCTCCGCATGAGTCCCCGCCTGGGGGAAGACCGGGGGGGTCACAGAGCAGGCCACGCCCAAACTTGGCCCTGCGCCCCGTGCCCCCCAGAATGCCCCTGTGCCCCTCCCACCAGGGGACTGCCCACCCAGAACACCCCATGCCCCCAGAACACCCATCTCGTCCCCTCGTACCTCCCCATGGCCCCCGCCCCCTAGAACACCAGTCTCATCCCCATGCCCTCGTACCTCCCCATGGCCCCCCCACCCGGGGACCGCCCACCCAGAACACCCCATGCCCCCAGAACACCCATCTCGTCCCCGCGCCCTCGTACCTCCCCATGGCCCCCGCCCCCTAGAACACCAGTCTCATCCCCATGCCCTCGTACCTCCCCATGGCCCCCGCCCCCCAGAACACCAGTCTCATCCCCATGCCCTCGTACCTCCCCATGGCCCCCCCACCCGGGGACCACCCACCCAGAACACCCCATGCCCCCAGAACACCCATCTCGTCCCCGCGCCCTCGTACCTCCCCATGGCCCCCGCCCCCAGAACACCAGTCTCATCCCCATGCCCTCGTACCTCCCCATGGCCCCCGACCCCCAGAACACCAGTCTCATCCCCATGCCCTCGTACCTCCCCATGGCCCCCCACCCGGGGACCGCCCACCCAGAACACCCCATGCCCCCAGAACACCCGGCTCGTCCCCGCGCCCGTACCTCCCCATGGCCCCCGCCCCCCAGAACACCAGTCTCATCCCCATGCCCTCGTACCTCCCCATGGCCCCCCCACCCGGGGACCGCCCACCCAGAACACCCCATGCCCCCAGAACTGGCCCCCTGCCAACCCCACCTGCAGGACTCTGCCCCCCGCCCAGCCTCGTCCCCCCTCACCTCAGCCACGCAGCCCCGGGCCAGCACCACGATGAGGTCGGCGCCCTGGATGGTGCTGAGCCGGTGGGCGATGACCAGCACGGTGCGGCCAGCCATGGCCCGCTCCAGCGCGTCCTGCACCACCTTCTCCGACTCCGCGTCCAGGGCGCTCGTGGCCTCGTCCAGGATCAGCACCGCCGGGTTCTTAAGCAGGGCCCGGGCGATGGCCACACGCTGCTTCTGGCCCCCCGACAGCATCACGCCGCGCTCGCCTGGGGGGACAGGTGGCTCTGTGGGGCTGTTCTGCCCGTCCCATCCGGCCTGTGAGAGCCCGAGGCAGGGCCCTCCCCCCAGGGCCCTGGCTCTGGCTGAGCGAGAGCAGGGCTGCCCCAGCTGCACTGACCCCGTGTCACGGAGACCCCGCCGCAGCCGTATGTCCACTCGGAGCGGGTCTGGCAGCTCCAGCCAGCAGCTGCTCCCCCCAAGCAGCCACCCCCCACGGATGGCGCCCACTTGGGTGAGTGGGGGCACAGGAAGGTGCCAGGGCCCTGCGCTCACCCACGATGGTGCCATAGCCCTGGGGGAAGCTGTGGACGAAGCTGTCGGCGTTGGCCAGCCGGGCCGCGGCGTAGACCTCGGCGTCGGACGCGCTGGGCTTCCCAAAGCGAATGTTCTCCAGGATGGTCGTTCCAAAGAGCGCAGGCTCCTGGGGTGGGGGGAGCCACCGTTTCAGTGCTGGGAGCAGCCTGACCCCCGCCTTGCGCTCCACTCCCCTCACCGCCCCAGTCCCTGCTCCCTGCACTCTCCCGCCCCGCTCACCTGGCTGATGAAGCCAATGACCTGCCCCCGTAGCCACGAGGGGTCCAGGGTGCAGAGCTCCCGTCCGTCCAGCGTGATGGCCCCCCCCGTGGGCTCATAGAAACGCTCCAGAAGGGCCGCCACCGTCGACTTCCCTGCAGGGCAAGGGGATGAGGCTGGCAGCCGCATGGCCCACGACACAGCCCGGGCACAGAGCACCCCACGGCCTGCCCACAGCCCAGGGAGGGGCAGGGTCCATTTCAGAGCCTTTAGGGGACTGAACTCTGAGCCGAGGTGGGGCCAAGTAGGCTGGGAGCCAGGACGCCTGGGTTCTATCCCGGTTCTGGGAGGGCAGGGGGGCTGGGAGCCAGGACGCCTGGGTTCTATCCCGGCTCTGGGAGGGCAAGAGCGTTGGGAGCCAGGACCATTCCCTGTGAGACCTTGGCCACCCCGCCCCTCTCTAGACTGGCTGCCCTGCAAGACCCCACCTGTGACAGACTTGGGGGGGGGAGGGGGCTTTGGCACTCATGGCCCGGGGGCAGCCGAGGGGTGGGAGGAACCTGGAGACTTCCTGTGGTACCTCCTCCCGACTCGCCCACGATGGCCACTGTCTTGCGAGGGGGCAGGGTGAGGCTGAAGTTCCGTAGCACTGGGCAGCTGGGGCGCGTGGGGTAACTGCGACAGCAAGAAGAGAGGGGTCAGGCTGGGCAGGGCAGACAAGGCGGCCAAGCGCTGGGCAAGTGCGGAGAAGCTGTGCAACTGGGAGCGAGGGGCACCGGCAGGGCTGGGGGGGGCAGGGCTGGGGTGGCAGGGGCTGCGGGTCGGGAGTGAGGGGCACCGGCAGGGCTGGGGAGGGCAGGGGCTGTGGGTCGGGAGCGAGGGGGCACCGGCAGGGCTGGGCTAGCAGGGGGCTGTGGGTCGGGAACGGGGGGGCACCGGCAGGGCTGGGCTAGCAGGGGGCTGTGGGTCGGGAGTGAGGGCTACCGGCAGGGCTAGCAGGGGCTGTGGGTTGGGAGTGAGAGGCACTGGCAGAGATGGGGGGGGAGCAGGGCTGGGCTAGCAGAGGGCTGTGGGTCGGGAACGAGGGGGCACCGGCAAGGCTGGGCTAGCAGGGGCTGTGTGTCAAGAGTGAGGGGCACCAGCAGGGCTAGCAGGGGCTGTGGGTCGGGAACGAGGGGGCACCGGCAAGGCTGGGCTAGCAGGGGCTGTAGGTTGGAAGTGAGGGGCACTGGCAGAGATGGGGGGGCAGGGCTGGGCTAGCAGGGGGCTGTGGGTCGGGAACGAGGGGGCACCGGCAGGCCTGGGCTAGCAGGGGGCTGTGGGTCGGGAACGAGGGGGCACCGGCAGGCCTGGGCTAGCAGGGGGCTGTGGGTCGGGAACGAGGGGGCACCGGCAGGCCTGGGCTAGCAGGGGCTGTGGGTCGGGAACGAGGGGGCACCGCAGGGCTGGGCTAGCAGGGGGCTGTGGGTCGGGAACGGGGGGGCACCGGCAGGGCTGGGCTAGCAGGGGGCTGTGGGTCAGGAGTGAGGGCTACCGGCAGGGCTAGCAGGGGCTGTGGGTTGGGAGTGAGAGGCACTGGCAGAGATGGGGGGGGGATCAGGGCTGGGCTAGCAGAGGGCTGTGGGTCGGGAACGAGGGGGCACCGGCAGGCCTGGGCTAGCAGGGGCTGTGGGTCGAGAGTGAGGGGCACCGGCAAGGCTGGGCTAGCAGGGGCTGTGGGTCGGGAACGAGGGGGCACCGGCAGAGCTGGGCTAGCAGGGGGCTGTGGGTCGGGAATGAGGGGGCACTGGCAGGCCTGGGCTAGCAGGGGCTGTGGGTCGGGAACGAGGGGGCACCGCAGGGCTGGGCTAGCAGGGGGCTGTGGGTCGGGAACGAGGGGGCACCGGAAGGGCTGTGCTAGCAGGGGGCTGTGGGTCGGGAGCGAGGGGCACTGGCAGGACTGAGGGAAGGGTGGTACAGAGGGTGAGGAGAATGACAGGTTCCCAGTGGTGCAGAACAGAGCCCCCCCCGGCTGCCCTCACCTGAAGCAGACGTCCCGGAAGCAGATGTGGCCGAGCAGGGAGTGGCTGGGGATCTGGTCCCCCCCCGACAGGGACACGGTCGGCTCCAGGGTCATGAACTCAAAGACACGGGCTCCAGCGCTGAGGCCTCGCACGACCTGTGGGGACAGCGATGGGGTGGGACTGCCCGATGCCCTGGTCACCATGTCACTGGGGCAGCCCCAAGCACAGCCCCGTCTGCGTCACCCCTCCATGGCCACATGGCACCGTGTGCTGGAAGGGCCCTGGCCAGTGGGGGCCCAGCCCTTCCCCCTTGCCCAGCTGACAGTCTGGGGCCAGCACAGGGGCACAGCAGGAACCTCCGTCACCACCATTGTGCCTCAGTTTACAAGGTGCAGCAGCTGGGCCAGAGCAGGGCATACGGATAAAGAACGACCAGGCAGGATCTGGCCAGTCGCACCTTCAACCAACCAGACAGGCCGGCACTTGTCCCAGTGCCCTCCGCCCAGAAGCCGCCCCGGGCCAGAATCCCAGAAGCAGCAGGCAAGCCCTGCGAACCGGCTGCTGGTACGGTCACCCCGGCCCTTGGTAGCCTGTGTCAGGCTGCTAGCCCCACAAGAGCGGGGAGGTGTCAAAGGGGGACCGAGCCAGCCCCTGCTCCACCTACCTGTCCAAACAGGACGGAGATGTTGGCCATGGACCTGCCGAGGCAAGGGGAGAGGCTCTGCTCAGCACTGGGCATGGGGACATAGAATCATGAGACTGGACGGGACCTCAAGAGGTCGCCTAGTCCAGTCCCCTGCACTCACGACAGGACTACGCATTATCCAGACCATCCCTGACAGGTGATTGTCCAACCTGCTCTTAAAAATCCCCAACGATGGAGATTCCACCACCTCCCTGGGCAATTTATTCCAGTGCCGAACCACCCTGACAGGTCGGAGGTTTTTCCTAATGTCCAATCTAAACCGCCCTGGCTGCAATTTAAGCCCATTGCGTCTTGTCCTGTCCTCAGAGGTTAAGAAGAACAATTTTTCTCCCCCTTTGTAATAACCTTTTATGTACTTGAAAACTGTTCTCATGTCCCCTCCCAGTCTTCTCTGCTCCAGACCAAACAGACCCAGTGTTCTCAATCTTCCCGCACAGGTCATGTTTCCTAGACCTTTCATCCGTTTTGTGGCTCTTCGGACTTTCCACATCTTTCCTGAAATGTGGGGCCAGGAACTGGACACAATACTCCAGTTGAGGCCTAATCAGCGTGGAGTGGAGTGGAAGAATTACTTCTCGTGTCTTGCTTACAACACTCCTGCTCATACAGCCCAGAAGGATGTTTGTTACACCGTTGACTCATAGTTAGCTTGTGATCCACTATGACCCCAGATCCCTTTCCGCAGGACTCCTTCCTAGGCCGTCATTCCCCATTGTGTATGTGTGCAACTGATTGTTCCTTCCTAAGTGGAGGGCTTTGCATTTGTCCTTATTGAATTTCATCCCATTTACTTCAGACCATTTCTCCAGTTTGTCCAGATCCTTTTGAATTTTAACCCTGTCCTGCAAAGCACTTGCAACCCCTCCCAGCTTGGTATCATCCGCACACTTGATAAGTGTACTCTCTATGCCGTTATCTAAATCAGTGATGAAGATATTGAATGGAAACGTAACCAGAACCGATCCCTGCAGGACCCCACTCGTTATGCCCTTCCAGCATGACTGTGAAGCACTGATAACGACTCTCCTGGTGAGCCCCACCCCGGGGTGAAATGCACACGGCTGTTGTTCTCTGACCTTTGCACTGTCTGCGAAGCCACCATGAAGGACATGAGGTCTCCAGGCGAGAGCTCCTCCCCAGCCATGAGGGAGCCCCCCACAAAGATGGTGCCCAGCACGATACCTGCAGGGGCAGAGCGCGGCACGGTGACATGAGGGCTTCCAGCCCCGCCACAGGGAGTGGGACACAGGAGAGACGAGGAGCCCGCAGCCCCCCTCAGACGCACTGGCTGGCACGGTGCCCTCACACCGAGAGGTGCCGAAGTATTTCCCTAACACCCCGGAATGGCAGCCGCCTCTGGGGTGGAGTGCAGCAGCTGGCGCCTGGCCGGGTGCATGGGGCGGGCTGAGCGGCTGGCACTGCGTGGTGCGGGCACACCCGGGGGAATTCTCCGCATCCCAGTGAGTCTGTTCCTATGGCCTTGGCATCGTTGCTCAGGGGAGTCAGGGTGAGGTGGAGACAGATCCATTAGGGCTGCCTAGGCTGGCCAGAGGCCCCCGCAGAGACTCTCTGGCTGCAGATTAACCTGGAGCCAATGGCTCCCCCAGCTCCCTGCAGGGAGCAGAGCCGAGCCCCTAGCCAGAGCAGTGCTGGAGTGGGGGGGGTCGGGTCACAGCCATGGGGCTCATGGGGGATGGGACAGGAGAGGGGTCACAGGGGCCCTACAGTAGCATAGCTGAGGGGAGCCCTGGGGGTAGCCAGTCCAGACTGTGTCTCTGGGCTACTGAGGGCTTGTTCCAGGTGACTGACAAACCTGCTCTGGGGGGAAAAGGCTCCTGGTGCCAGGGCCGATCCTGGCTGGGCGCGATGAGGGTCCCCTAGAGCCCGGCTCAGAGGGACTCGCTGGCAGAGCTCGTGGGGGGAAGGTGGAGGGCTAGAGCCCAGAGGCTCCGTCGGAGGTGGGGGGCTGTGTGACCCACCCTTGTGAACAGACGGGACCTAGGGGGGGCTGGCCATGCGCCGCCCACTCACCATTCAGCACCATGTTGGACAGCCCCTGGAAGACAGCGATGCCCCTGCCCAACTTCTCATTCAGCCGGCTCGACTGATCCACCTCGTGGCAGTACAGGCTGCAAGGCAAGGAGGGGGTTGGCGACCCACACCAGGGCGGGGCTGGCAGCTGCAGGGCTTTCCTCACAGCACCTCCCCTGCACAGCGCCCCCCAGTGCCTACAGGACCTGGCCAGGGTGTGGGGGTGGCACCTCTCCTGCACAGCGCCCCCAATGCCAGGCTGGGGGGCAGGACACGGGCCCAGATGGCAAGGGACAAGGTCCTGGCTTTGGGGTCTGGGCAGCAGGGAGCATGTGCATGCGGGGCTGGTGTGAGTGGGGCAGGGTGGGGACAAAGCCACTGCCTGGTACTTACGCCACCTCTGTGTCCTCCATGGCAAAGGCCCGCACAGTCCGCACGTTTCCCAGCGCCTCATCTGCCACCCCTGTGGCCTTGGCCACCTGCAGAGAGACGGTCACAGGCCACCTTGCTCCGCGGGCGCTGCCTGCCCAATGGGGCAGGAGAAGCCATGGCTGGGGCACCTGCCACCTCAACACTCCCTCCGTACCGGGGGCCCACAAACGCACAGCCACCGTTTGTACCTGGCAGGAGTGCGGGGGTGTTGCCGGCTCCTGGGCCTGGCGGGGTGGGGCCGGGGGGAGACGTTGCATTCCATAATGTTTTATGGAAATATGCTTATGAGTGGGAATATAATATAACTGGAATATGCTTCATGCAAAAGGTCTCTTGTAAGGCATCACTGCAAAGGTTATTACCTACTGAGTGTGGTCATCCTGTTTGTATGTATGCAGGGGGCTGGACTAGGTGACCTCCTGAGGTCTCTTCCAACCCTGCTAGTCTCTGGTTCTAGTATCTGAAGCTAGGCATATCAAGTATAACTCTGAGGTCCTACTGTAATCATGCAAAGTCTGGGCCCCTGCAGGTTTAGAATCTTGATGGCTCCCACTGACTAGGACAATTGATTGTAGATAGTTTATTTACCTGCAAGCCTTCCTGTGTACGGGTGGGCCAGCCCCTGGGTAATGAAGAATGATACTGGAATCCATCTTAAATCTGGTACTTTTCCATTTAGAAGTAGGGGTGGGGACCCAGAGAGACAAAAGATTCCCGCCATGTGACAAAGGTATAAAAGGGGGTGGAACAGCACAAGGAGGGTCCCAGTCATGTGAAAACCCCTGCTTCCCACCGGAGATGCCTGCTGGAACTAACAAGGACTGAACCGGGGAAAGGACTGGGCCCAGACTAGGAAGGAGTCGAGTCTGTGAAAGAAGCTTATTGGAACACCTCTGAGGGTGAGATTTACCTGTATTCAGTTTCTTAATGTATTAGGCTTAGACTTGCATGTGTTGGTTTATTTTGATTGATAAATTACTTTGTTTTGTCTGTTATTACTTGAAACTACTTAAATCCTACTTTTTATACTTAATAAAATCACTTTTGTTTACTGGTAAACCCAGAGTAAGTGATTAATACTGGGAGGAGCAAACAGCTGTGCATATCTCTCTATCTGTGTTATAGAGGGCAGACAGTTTATGAATTTACCCTGTATAAGCTTTATGCAGAGTAAAACAGATTCATTTGGGGTTTGGATCCCATTGGGAGCTGGGTGTCTGGGTGCTGGAGACAGGGAACCTGCTGAGTGGTTTTCAGTTAAAGCCTGCAGCTTTGGGGGTATGGCCCTGATCTGAGTCTGTGTTTGCAGCAGGCTGGCGTGTCTGGCTCAACAGGGCAGGGTTCTGGAGTCCCAGGCTGGCAGGGAAAACGCGCTCAGAGGTAATCTCAGCACATCAGGTGACAGTCCCAAGGGGATCCCTGTGACCCAACCCGTCACAGGGGGTGTTACCTGCTCTTGGGCCTGGCGGGAGAGGCTGCGCAGGACAGAGCCGATCAGGGCACCGGCGCCCACCAAGCTGGGCATCACCACCAGGAGCAGCCCGGTCAGCTTGGGCGAGAGCAGGTAGAGGGAGGCGAAGCAGCCCACAGTTTGCGTGACACTGCGCAGGCCCTGGAGGCAGAGACCCAGTCAGCGGGATCCCGCGGGGCCCCCAGGCCTTCCCCAGCAGTGCCAGGAGAGGCCAAGGGCGGGGCACTCAGCACCCGGGGTGGGGGCTGCTGGCTGGGAGAGGATGGGGCTGCCCGGGGGGGGGACATCCGGGGCTGCTCCCATTGGCCTCACCTGGGAGATGACGAGTTTGAAGGAGGATTTGAACTCCTGGATGTCGGTTGTGAGCCGATTGACCAGCTGCCCCGTCCGGTTGGCATCAAAGAACGCCATGTCCTGTCTGGGGGACGGGACGGGACAGGGGCTGGGGGGGAGGGGCCTGCAGGAGCTGCTGTCTCCAACTGCCCCCACTCCCCCAGCCAACCCCCCTCTGTTCCCTCAACCAACCCCCCTGCAACCCCAGCCCCCCAACCAACCCCCGTTCCTCAGCCAGCCCCCCCAACCACCCCCCACCTCCTTCCTCCCAACCAACCCATCATTCCCCTACTCCCCAAACATGCCCCCCACTGCAGCCATTGCCCCCAGCCGCCCCCCCGCCCTTTCCCCTACGGTCATCAATCCACCCTCCTTCCCATGCATCCCCCGAGTGGGTGGATTTACCGCAGCAGGGATGCGAAGAGGGCCTTGCGCATGCTGCCGGCCACCCGCTCCCCGACCCGCGCCAGCATCACGATGTAGCTGAAGGTCAGCAGCCCCTGGGGATGGAGGAATGGCCACAGCAGTCAGCCCGAGGCCCGCCAGCCCAGCGCCCCGCCCAAGAGCACCTATGAGAGCCCCACCGCCGCAGATCTGGGGTGACTGGCCCCTCCTGGAGTCTCATCCCAACCCCAGGAGGCAGGGGCCAGCAGTGGCTTTCACATCCTGCCACAGAGGTGGTGCCAGGAATTAAAACATCCCTGGATGCAGCACCCTGTGCAGGACTAGTGCAGAGCCCTGCTGCGGGGCCAGGATCCCGCGAGCCCTGTTGCCATACGAGCGGGATTAAACAACAGTCCCACACAGGGCTCTACCTGGACATCTTGGTACCCACATAAAACATCCTCTTTGAATCTTCCTCAGTCCCTGGCCTCAGCAACCTCCTGTGGCAGAGAGTTCCACAGTCCAGCCACACCTTGCGGGACAGCATTTCCTCAGATCAGTTTGGAACGTCCCACCATTTAATTTCATGGACTGGCCCCTCGTCCTTGTGTTACGAGTCAGGAAGCCCAGCCAGGCCCGATCTCACTGATCTAGGCCAGGCGTTATTTTATAGACTTCTCACGCGGCCTCTCGTGTGTCTGCTCTCTGTGGTAACAACCCCAGTCGTTCCAGTCTCTCCTTGTAACAGAGCGTTTCCAGGTCCGGGGTCATCTCTGTGGCCCTTGTCTGAACCCCCTCGAGCTCTGCAATAACCTGCCTGGGACAGAGCGCCCATGCTGCACACAGGATCCAGAGGAGGTGGTGCCATTGGTTTAAAAAAAGGCATTTGAATATTCTCGGTTTTTCACCTCCCCAGTCCTTAAGCATCCCAACATCACCTCAGCTTTTTTGACCACAGTTGTGCATTGAGCAGAGATCTCCACTGAGCTGTCGGCGGGGAAGCCCAGATCCCTTTCCTGGGCTGACACCGTTAATGTCAAGCCCTGTCAGGTGGACAAGTAGTTCGTATTTTCCCCTTCAATGCGCATTATTTAGTATTTATCAGCAGTGAACTTCACTGGCTGTCATACAGCCCTTTCACCCAGCTGGGCTTGGGATCTTTGAGTTCCTCACCGCCCTCTCTGGGCCTGACTCCCCTAAATAACTTCTCAGCTGCAAATGCTGCTACTTCCCTGCTCACCCTCCTTTCCAGACCCCTGATAAATTCATTAAGCACAGGACCTAGCCTGACGCCTTCAGGCTCCGCTGTTAACCTTGTGTCCTTTAGTCCTGCTCTCGCTTTCTATGCCCAGCCAGCCTTTGATCCACGACAATACCGTCTCTCTCACCCAGGATGACTTCGCTTCTTTAGCCACCTCTTGTGGGGGACCTTGGAAAAGGCCTTTGGAATGTCTAAATTACGTCAGCTCATTCAGTAGATGAGTGAGAAGTGATTTTCCTTGGCAAAAATCATGCAGGTTATAACCCTGATCTTCCAGGTCTTTTAATAGACTGTTGTTAAAGATCATTTCAACCAGCCTGCCAGGTACAGATGTACGGCTGACTGATCTAATTCCCCGGGTCACCCCAGGGCCTTCCCTAGATCTGGGTACAGCATTTGGCCCCCTCGGGTCGCCTGGGACAGGGGCTGCATATCTCTGTTAGAGAGGACCGGGGCGGGGGGTGTTCAGAGCCCAACAGCTCACAGCCCCCCCTGCCCCTGCCAGCCCGCCCCCCGGCTCACCTGCAGGCTGTAGAGCAGGAGCAGGCGGAGGGCAGGCCGGCGCACCTCCCGCAGGTAGGTCCCAACACGCTGCTGGGTGCAGCGTGCCACCACGTTCACCAGCTCCCCCAGGAGCATGGGGATCCGGATGTTGAGCAGGGCCACGCCCAAGGCAAACTGCAGAGAGAGATCAGAGCCCAGCATTGACCCCGGGGCCCACGGGCTGGGCCAGGCCGGTGGGGGTATCACCCCCAGGGCCACGTGGGTCAGACTGAGACATGGGGGGTACGGGCCCGGGAGCCCCCAGACTGGCCAAGGCTGGAGCCTGCTGGTCCGGCAGGGGGCTGGGCTCCTCCTCCAGGCCCCCCCGCGTTCTCTGGGGGGCGCGCCAGGAGGTTCTTACCACGACGGCTGCCGACAGGGCCAGCAGCTGCGGGCGAAGGAACTTCCAGAACTCGGCCCAGGCGAAGTCGGGCTCTGGCTTGGGGGAAGCAGGGGCCGGGCCGGGGCTCCCAGCCTCCTGGCAACGAGCTCCTCTGCGGGCGAGGCCGGCCCCCAGGCCCAGCAAGGCTGGGCCCGCCAGGAGCGCGGTGGCCCGGCCCAGCGAGAAGGGGCAGCGGGGCAGGGCTGGGGACGGCGCGGCCAGGCGGCCGGGGGCTCGGAGGAAGATGGAGACTCTGGCATGACTGGCCACGTACCTAAAAGGAGAAGGGGGGGTGAGGCGCCCCGGGCGGTGCCCGCTCCCCCCCGCTCCGGCTCCCCCCTGCTCCCCGGGCCCGGCTCCCCCCTGCTCCCCGGGCCCGGCTCCCCCTGCTCCCCGGCTCCCCGGGCCCTGCTCCCCCCTGCTCCCCGCGCCCGGCTCCCCCCTGCTCCCCGCTCCCCCCGGCTCCCCCCTGCTCCCCGGGCCCTGCTCCCCCCTGCTCCCCGCTCCCCCCTGCTCCCCGGGCCCGGCTCCCCCCTGCTCCCCGGGCCCGGCTCCCCCCTGCTCCCCGGGCCCGGCTCCCCCCTGCTCCCCGCTCCCCGGGCCCGGCTCCCCCCTGCTCCCCGCTCCCCGGGCCCGGCTCCCCCCTGCTCCCCGCTCCCGGCTCCCCCCTGCTCCCCGCTCCCCGGGCCCGGCTCCCCCCTGCTCCCTGCTCCCCACGCCCGGCTCCCCCCTCTGCCCACGGCTCCAGCTCCCCCCCTGGGCCCAGCTCCCCCCTGCTCCCCGCTCCCTGCTCCCCCCTCTGCCCACGGCTCCAGCTCCCCCCCGGGCCCGGCTCCCCCCTGCTCCCCACGCCCGGCTCCCCCCCCGGGCCCGGCTCCCCCCTGCTCCCCCCTCTGCCCACGGCTCCAGCTCCCCCCCCGGGCCCGGCTCCCCCCTGCTCCCCCCCCGGGCCCGGGGCGCGGCGGGGAGCGTGTCACACCGGCGCGCGCCGTGGGGGCTCCAGGGGCACGCGCACCGGGGGGGGGCAGCGGGCTCCGGGCTGGGACCGGGAACCCAGGCGTCCGGGTGACGCGCTACCTGGCCCGGCAGCCCCCGCGCCCCGCCCGGAGCAGCAGCAGCAGCATCGCGAAAGCAGCGGCCCGGCCGGCCCACAATGCACCGCGCCACGGGCTGCGGGGGCGGGTGGTCGCCGCCGAGAGCTTCCGGGCCAGAGCCCCGCCCCCTGGCTGACCCCGCCCCCAAGCCAGAGCCCCGCCCCTCCTCGGCCTGACCCCGTGTCGCGGAGTGTGGGGGAGTCCAGGCCCTGCACCCCTCTTCCTGGGATCCACTGAGACTCTCAGCCAGCCAGTAAAACAGAAGGTTTATTGGACAACAGGAACACAGTCCACAACAGAGCTTGTGGGTACAACCAGGACCCCTCAATCACGTCCTTCTGGGGGAGCAGGGAGCTTAGACCCCAGCCCTGGGGTTCCCTGTGTTCCTCCCCCCAGCCTCCAAACTGCCAACTCCACTCACCCCGCAGGTTCCCTGCTGCAGCCTCTGTTCACATTCCCGGGCAGAGGTGTCACCTCCCCCTCCCCCTCCTGGCTCAGGTGACAGGCTCTCAGGTCTCCCATCCCCAGGGCACATTCCCAGGTCAACACTCCCCCCTCCCTGCTGAGTCACATCGTCACACCCCGCCCCTCCCTAGGCCACAGTCCCGCCCCTCCCTGGACGAACCCCGCCCCCAAGCCACAGCCCCGCCCCTCCCCGGCCTGACCCCGCCGCTCCCCAGACGAACACTGCCCCCAAGCCAGAGCCCCGCCCCCCCGGCCTGCACCCCGCCCCCAAGCCAGAGCCCCGCCCATTCACAGACTGACCCCGCCCCTCCCTGGGCCAGAGCCCCGCCCCTCCCCGGCCTGACCCCGCCGCTCCCCGGACCAACACTGCCCCCAAGCCAGAGCCCCGCCCATTCAGACTGACCCCGCCCCTCCCTGGGCCAGAGCCCCGCCCATTCAGACTGACCCCGCCCCTCCCTGGGCCAGAGCACCGCCTCTCCCTGAACTGACTCCGCCCCCAAATCAGAGCTCCGCCCCTCCCCAGACTCACCCTGCCCCTCCCTGGGCCAGAGGACCGCCCATTCACAGACTGACCCCGCCCCTGGGGCAAAGCCCCACCTCTCCCGGCAATGACCCCGCCCCCAGCCAGAGCCCCGCCCCTCTCGGACTGGAGTCAGACGGGCAGCTCTGGCCGAGGCTCCGTGGTCCCAGCTCTGCCCCCTGCCAGGTGCCCCAGGGCCAGGGCCCGAGGAAAGCAGCTGGCTCCCTGCCCCCTGGAGCAGCGGCAGCCCGGGGTGACCGGCTTCCTTCTGGGCGTTGGTGCAGCCGGCCGTGCTGGCCGGCTCCGTGCCCTGAGGCCATCGGACCCACGGCCGGCTGGGGCTGGGCAGAGTCTGAGTGGGTGGCCCTGCCCTCGCAGCAGGGCTGGGCCCCAGACCATGGGGGTGCGGGAGGCCACACCGGACACGGGGCCGGTCCCCCAGTCGCTAGAGTCATCGTGGAAAACAACGAGCTGCAATTATCAAAACTAAACGCTTTATTGGGGGGCTGCAGGGGGGGAGGCAGCAGCAGTGGGGCAAAGGGCCCTGCTCCCACCCCCATGGGCCGAGGAGCCAGGGGCCACGCAGGGGGCGGGCTCCAGCAGGCTCCGCGCCTGCGCCGAGAAGGACTGAGAGCGGATCCGCGAGGCCACCTCCTGCGTGCGGAACGTCAGGCCGAAGATGTCCTCGTGGCAGCGGTTCTGGTCCTGGGGGAGAGACCCGGGGTGAGGGGCGCCGGGCAGGGCAGCACCCACAGGGCACCGAGACTGATGCCCAGGGAGCCCTGCAATTCCAGCCCCCCTCCATCCCAACCCGCAGCCCCTATCCCAGCCCCGGGGCCCCCCACCCCCTGCCCTGCCGGCACCCCTCCGTCCCATCCCGCAGCCCCTATCCCAGCCCTGCCGCACCCCTCAGTCCCAACCCGCAGCCCCTATCCCAGCCCCGGGGCCCCCCACCCCCCTGCCCTGCCGGCACCCCTCCGTCCCATCCCGCAGCCCCTATCCCAGCCCTGCCGCACCCCTCAGTCCCAACCCGCAGCCCCTATCCCAGCCCCGGGGCCCCCCACCCCCCTGCCCTGCCGGCACCCCTCAGTCCCAACCTGCAGCCCTAACCCAGCCCTGCCGCACCCCTCAGTCCCAACCCGCAGCTCCTATCCCAGCCCCGGGGCCCCCCCGCCCCCAGCCCTGCCAGCACCCCTCCGTCCGCACCCACAGCCCCTATCCCAGCCCCGGGGGCCCCCACCCCCCTGCCCTGCCGGCACCCCTCCGTCCCCACCCACAGCCCCTATCCCAGCCCCGGGGCCCCCCACCCCCCAGCTCTGCCAGCACCCCTCTATCCCAGCCCCGGGGCCCCCCACCCCCCAGCTCTGCCAGCACCCCTCCATCCCATCCCCAGCCCTGGGGTCCCACCCCCACAGCTCTGCCGGTGCCCCTCACTGCTGACCCACAGCCCCCTACTTGCCTACCCCAGGCTGCCCGCGTCCCTGTGCCCCCAGCTGGGGCCGCTCCCCCACCCCGTACCCGGAGTTCGCTGATTAGGTCTCCGGCCTCGGCCAGCGTCATGCCTCCCTCCTGGGCCAGGATCTGCTGCACCGTCTGCAGGACGCCGGTGGCCATGGTGACGTCCCCGCAGACGTAGAGGTGGCCCCCGCGCTGGCATAGCACCTGGTGCACCTCGCCCGGCAGCTGCGTCCGCAGGATGTCCTGCACGTAGGCCTGGGGCAGGGCAGAGCGTCAGTGTGGGCCGCCCCGGCCCCCCAGCCAGCCCCGCTGGGCGCAGCCCCCGTTACCTTGGGGATGTCGGGGTCCCTGGAGAAAGCCGTCAGCACCCGGCTCAGCGCCCCCTTCTGCTGGGCCTCCAGCGCCTCCTGCTGGTAGAGGTGGTCGAGGCGGGCACAGCGGCAGCCGAACACCAGGGTCATCTCGCCCGGCCGGAGGCCTGGAGGGCAGGGGCAGGGTGAGGGGCAGTAGTGGCCCCCCAGCCCCGGGATCCTGCTCCCGCCCTGGCCCTGCCGAGACCCCTCTCGGACACACCCTCCCAGTGCCCCTCGGCAAGGCGCGCCAGGTCCCCCCAGCCAAGAGCCCTAGGGACCCCCAGCCCCCCCGCCCAATCCAGGCCCCCCAGGCCCTGTCCCCAGTCCCCCAAGCTGCCCAGGCCATGAGCCCTGGGGACCCCCAGCCCCCCCGCCCAATCCAGGCCCCCCAGGCCCTGTCCCCAGTCCCCCAAGCTGCCCAGGCCATGAGCCCTAGGGACCCCCAGCCCCCCGCCCCATCCAGGCCCCCCCGGCCCTGTCCCCAGTCCCCCAACCTGCCCAGGCCATGAGCCCTGGGGACCCCCAGCCCCCCGCCCAATCCAGGCCCCCCAGGCCCTGTCCCCAGTCCCCCAACCTGCCCAGGCCATGAGCCCTGGGGACCCCCAGCCCCCCCGCCCCATCCAGGCCCCCAGGCCCGTCTGACCTTCCGTCTCCATGGCGTGCAGCCGCTGCTGCCAGAAGCCCCGGAAGGGGGCGATGCCGGTGCCCGGACCCACCAGGATGCAGGGGGCATGGGGGTCCTGCGGGAGCCGGAAGGACGGGGCCCTGTGTGGGGAGCGACGGTGTCTGGGGCATGGCACCGGGTCGAGCCGCCTGCGCGCTGCAGGGCCTCGGGGCAGGGGCCACGGCAGCAGAAAGGGTTAATGGGAGGAGGAGGGGTCCCCAGACTAGGGGTGGAGCAGGGCATGCTGGGAGATGTGGGGCCTGTGGGGTGAAAGAGCCACAGGAGGGAGCATGCGGGCAGGGTCCAAGCCCCACCAGCCCCCACCCTGAGCCTCATGCAGGGTCCCCCCCTCCCCTCGCCCTGGCTCTGTCCTGGGCAGGGTCCCACCCCCATCCAGGCTCTGTGCCCCGGGGCAGGGTCCCAACTCTGCCAGCCCCCCGCCTTGGCTCTGTGCCCCGGGGCAGGGTCCCAGCTCTGCCAGCCCTCCGCCTTGGCTCTGTGCCCCGGGGCAGGGTCCCAGCTCTGCCAACCCCCCGCCTTGGCTCTGTGCCCCGGGGCAGGGTCCCAGCTCTGCCAGCCACCCGCCTTGGCTCTGTGCCCCGGGGCAGGGTCCCAGCTCTGCCAGCCCTCCGCCTTGGCTCTGTGCCCCGGGGCAGGGTCCCAGCTCTGCCAGCCCCCGCCTTGGCTCTGTGCCCCGGGGCAGGGTCCCAGCTCTGCCAGCCCCCCGCCTTGGCTCTGTGCCCCGGGCCAGGGTCCCAGCCCCGCCAACCCCCCGCCTTGGCTCTGTGCCCCGGGGCAGGGTCCCAGCTCTGCCAGCCCCCCGCCTTGGCTCTGTGCCCCGGGGCAGGGTCCCAGCTCTGCCAGCCCCCCCGCCTTGGCTCTGTGCCCCGGGGCAGGGTCCCAGCTCTGCCAGCCCCCCGCCTTGGCTCTGTGCCCCGGGGCAGGGTCCCAGCCCCGCCAACCCCCCGCCTTGGCTCTCTGCCCCGGGGCAGGGTCCCAGCTCTGCCAGCCACCCCCCTTGGCTCTGTGCCCTGGGGCAGGGTCCCAGCTCTGCCAGCCCCCCGCCTTGGCTCTGTGCCCCGGGGCAGGGTCCCAGCTCTGCCAGCCACCCCCCTTGGCTCTGTGCCCCGGGGCAGGGTCCCAGCCCCGCCAACCCCCCCGCCTTGGCTCTGTGCCCCGGGGCAGGGTCCCAGCTCTGCCAGCCCCCCGCCTTGGCTCTGTGCCCCGGGGCAGGGTCCCAGCTCTGCCAGCCCTCCGCCTTGGCTCTGTGCCCCGGGGCAGGGTCCCAGCTCTGCCAGCCCCCCGCCTTGGCTCTGTGCCCCGGGGCAGGGTCCCAGCCCCGCCAACCCCCCGCCTTGGCTCTGTGCCCCGGGGCAGGGTCCCAGCTCTGCCAGCCCCCCGCCTTGGCTCTGTGCCCCGGGGCAGGGTCCCAGCTCTGCCAGCCCCCCGCCTTGGCTCTGTGCCCCGGGGCAGGGTCCCAGCTCTGCCAGCCACCCCCCTTGGCTCTGTGCCCCGGGGCAGGGTCCCAGCTCTGCCAGCCCCCGCCTTGGCTCTGTGCCCCGGGGCAGGGTCCCAGCTCTGCCAGCCCCCCGCCTTGGCTCTGTGCCCTGGGGCAGGGTCCCAGCTCTG